CACTAGCTTTTGTTGTGTGTTGTTTGTGACATGCTGCATTCTGATATGTCACATGTCGGTTTCATTTAGCTCATCCTACGTTTTCCACTCTAATGGTGTGATTTTCTTTTTTTAACCTTTGCTGAACCAGTTTCGGCGTCAACACGTGTGCTCAAGAAAAGACGATTTGCCAAGAAAATGAACACAGTTTTTCTCATTTCCGGATGTGTTCCTATCTCAAACTAACAGCGTATGAGTGACGTGTGAGGGAATGGTGTGATTAGGTTTATTTATTCATAAATGGATTCATTTTCCTGCGATGGGCTGCCGACCTGTCCAGGGTGCACCCTGCTTCTCACCCACCAATCCCCACTCCCACAACTCAGATCCACTTTTGCATGCAGAAGTTTTATTTGAGAAAAGCAAACATTAGGGATATTCCCATCAATTTATAAACATGCACAAAATAATAGGACACCTGAGGTTGAACGTGAATTAAATTCACAGATCAATCATGTACATTTACGCGTCTCATCATAGTTTCATAATGGTTATGAAACCCCCCATAAACAGTGAAAGGGAAGGGCAGACAGACAGAAAAGCTCTCAGCCAGGATCTGAACCAGGAACCCTGTTGCTGTGAGACAGCATTGCTAACCCCCAATTAAAGAATGTTTTCTTTTCCGTCTTCTGTGCAGACATTGCCATGGTGTCCTGAAAGTAACACAGACGGGCAACCTGTGAAAATCCTCCACATGTCTTCCATTTGACATTCAAAGTGGATGTAATCATCAAAAGTCAGGAGGACTATCAGCCACTTCCTTAAATATAGTTATTAGCCTGGGTGTGCATGGCAGCCTCATCTGTGGGAAAGAGCCTTAAAATAAAAAGCTGAAGTACAGCAGAAGGGAGGGACGGAGAAATTTGAATTGTATTCATTCAAGTCCTCCACTCCTCAAGGTTCTTCTTTAATCATTGAACTAGATGAATAAAGTTTCCAAAGTTAAATGTAAAGTTTCCTTTTTTTTAGGTCTGATTCAAGCTTTTCTCGCATACTGAAATATGAAGACATTTGAGGACGGCAGCAGAGACAAAGCAGGTAGCGGTCATCTTTTTGCTTCATCTTTTCTTACGGGCCAAACTCACATTCCTCCGTTTATAGGAAGACTTTATTTCAGTCACAGTTAGTCTTTTTGCAGCTCTTATGAATGAAGCTCTATAAGCATATTGGACTGTCAGGGTTAGAAAAAGAGAACGGCTGATAACACTGACGTCCAAAAGAACTAGAGCTTAGGGAACTGCCGGAGTCAAGAGAAACATTTTACATCCTTTTTCGGCTTGATTTTGTTATTGGTGCTTTTGTGGAGTTTTTGGTATGTGAACTCCTTATTTTTTTGGTATGTGTTTCACATACCCTGTAAATTTGGCGCTTTGGTGATTTGTGTTTATCTTGTTTTACTTTCTGTGTTCTCAGTTTGTTTTCCTTGTCCTGGTTTCTTTTTTGGAGTTCTATCCTGGTCATTCTGACCCACAATTCCTTAGTTCTCCTTATAATTCCTAACGCTTTGCCCCCTATTTTACATCTTAGAATTTTGTTTTTCTACTTAAGCGTTTGGTTTTCCAGCCTGGCTGTTTGTTTGACTTAGTTTTGTGTTTTTTCTTTTGCAGTGATGAACAATTTTTTTGTTATTTATCTTCACGTTTGCATTTGGATCCATCTCCTTGCTTAAACCTCTGCACTGCAACAGATTAGGAATTACATCACAGCCATCTTTAAATACAAAAGTCCCGCTCAAAGTCATCCATCCTCTTTCAATAACCCACTTCATCTGACTCCCGGTTGCGCGGGGCACTTGGGCCTATCTCAGCCGTCGTTAGGCAGAGGATGGTGTACATCCAGGACAGGTCACCAGTCCTACACAGAGCCACACAAAAAAGCAGCTACGCACACACATACTCGCCTCTCTCAAGCATTTAGTTAGACACTAATTAAAGGTCATGTTGCTGGAACCCCCTAACACGCATGTTTTTGGAATCGGGCAGGCTCCTGCTGGGAGGCGACGGCGCTCACCACCACTCACACACTCACACACTCACACACTCACACACACACACACTCCACCACCGCCAAGAAAAAAGCCCTGCCTGACATGTCTTCCCACTAACTCCCAGCGGAATGGAAAAACTCTTACAAAACTGATTTAGTGAAAAAGCACCCATTAAATCTGAGCATTATACTAGGGACTTTAGTCTAAAAATATTTCCCCCATTATGTCCACGCAATGGATCTTAAGATGGTGCGAAGTGTGTAAGATGACCGTGGTAAACCATCACACCGAGCAGCAGTTCCATCATATTTTTGTCCTTATAGAAGGAAAACTTAACAAGCTACAATGACGGTCCCTGTTGGAACAGGAAAGGGGACCATCATAATGATTGCAAGCACCGAGCCCCTTAACAACAATCACCTTTACACTGCTGACTAACATGAATGAGTGATGTTGGCATCGGAACTGCCATGTATAACATCTATCAGGGCCCGTTTGAAGCCGCGGGAATTACATAATTCATGTGCAAATCATCTCAGCCACTTATATCAATGTCTCTTCTTTGATTAAAAAAAAAAGAGAAGAAGAAGAAAAAAAACATGAAAGACCGCCTGACATGACATATACAACAAACAGCGGGCTGCTGTGAGGTGGCACTTTGATGCCCGCTGATGAAAGATTCTGACACATAACCGGGAGCACTTTGTAGAGACAAAAATCATTGTCACAGTGTCACCTTTACAATTGTTTTTTTTATTTTTTTACGAATTTTTCAAAGCAAATGCAGTTTTAGCAATTCTGTATCGTATCTAGGAGGGTCAGAGCCCCAAACCTCCTTACTGGGTCCACGTGAGGCCTTTAAAACTGGCACTGAAATGACCGAAGTCCGACTGTAGGGGAAGCCTTTGACACATGTTCCTACGGTAACGCTGAGGACAGCAAAAAAGTGCACGGGACGTAGGAAATAGCGTGTCACCATCATTTCCCTGCTATACTGCACAGTGGGCAGAGCGCAGCCCCCGTGCATCTCCGGCAACTTATCACTGTCATCATGCAAAATGGCCCCAGATAAATCATTCTGATTTACCTGGGACCATCTGTGGAGCAGTGCTGAGGAAAAAAGAAAAAAAAAAGGTGGGATAATGGTGGAGGACAGAGGAATGGAAACCACTGCCAGGGGGGGGGGGGTAGTTTGCCAGGAGGGTAAACACCACGCGTGGAAAGAAGAGAGAATAAAAATGATACTAAAACAAAGTTATGTACTGTTGCAGGCTCTTACATGGAGGCATCGTGGAAGAGTGGACTGACCCACCTCCGGGGACCCGAAATCCTGCCAGTACTGACCCGGCTGATGTCATACACAGCAGGTTTGAGTTTTTTTTTTTTTTCCATTTTGTACATCAAGTCAACTCAGTGCAGGCAGATGTCTGAATAACAAGCCTCCCAGTCTTGGCAGAGAGCATCTGACAGAAACAAACAAGAAAAAGTCTCTGAAGTGCTCCAGGATTCTGCTTGTTCCCTTCATAAAAGTCCACAACACATGTCTAAACCCTGTACTGAGTCAGAGACTCCATGCACTCCGCCGTTTGATCATCTCTCAAAGCTCGTCAGTTGGAGAGAACCTGTAGTTCGTGTTGGCTGTGCAGCAAGATTACAATCCGATGTGAGAAGAGTTTCACTTTCTTTCTCGAGGAGGGAACGTCGACTTTTTTTATTTTATTTCATCAAGCTCTGTGGGAAAACCTGGGAGGTTGTGTGTCAGGCTGTCAGTCAGACATTTCCATTGCAGAGCGATATCATATTGAACAGCATTAAGACACAGGAATAGCACCCCATACCACTTCATCCTCAATGTTTATTTAAGGAACTACATGAACAGAAAAAGCCCTTCGTGCCGTCTTACATATCAGAGAAATGCAGTCAGCAAAGTCTTCTGTTCATATTACTGTTAAACAGAGCCAAGGCAGGATCACAGTCGCATTAAAACTGCAGCAAACTTTAAACATTACAAACGCTTCTTTCATTTTACCTTAATTATCTTTAGTGTCATTATGTTTTTGCAGGAAAGAGCAACAGTGGGTGATTAGAGTGATATGCACACTGTTTTGTGTTTAAAGGTAAATGTCAACCTTGAAGGATGATTGATAAATCAACAGTTCAGACAGTATCTCCAACACTTGATCATCAGATGTTAAATACTGCTTAATTTCATTCAGTCATTTCAGCCACACTTACAATACTAATTGGAGAGAGACAAACCTGAAGTTAAAACTAAGTTTCATTTATTTAACTTCTATTTTTATATTTCTTGTAGATAACAAAGCACTTGGCAAAAATATCAGTTCCATATTATCGATGAATTGAAAAGGCCATCTTTACTGAGATTACATTACACTTTGGCTATATTTATATCGACATAAATGATCTAATATTAACTTGATTAAAATGTTATATCAAATACATTGCTTGTATTTTCAGGTCACTTAAACACGAATATACTGTTCGCAAACATTAATCTGTCCTAGGTCGGACTTTGTATGCATGGAAATATGTTAAATTAAGCATTTAATACTGAGTTTCACGGTAGCTGGTGACACTGTTTAGTTATAGAAGTCATTTCTGTTTCTGAAAGCAAATTTAGTGGCCTTTCCAAGAAAATGTTAATGTTGTCAGTCACAAGATCTGGCAAAACTAATGCTGAACAGGAAGGTTGTTTGTAAAACAAGGAAAAGCAAATACTTAAAAAGGGAACGCTTCATTAATAATTTGTCTTGTAAGATATTTGATAGTACAGCTTGAAATAGCTGAAATACTATGCTCTGCGAGATATATTGTTAATACTATAATGGGAATCTTGTCTGATTTAAAATTAGCCGCATTGTCTGTAAATGACAATTCTTGCACGTGCAGATTATTTAGGAAACAGCATTTCAATCGATTCACAAGCAAAGAGAAAAAGCACAACATAACTGTAATAAATGCATCTTTAATAGGTTCAGTTTCTATTTACATTTAGGATCCACCCTCAGCAACAAAGACAATACATTTATACACATTTAGGGTAAAAGGCAAACCTAAAACCACAAGTGGAATAAAATCTAGTGGCAAAAGCCCAGTTTAACTGCAAAATTCAACTGGCTTCAGAATGAATCGAGTCAGATAAAAAGGAGAGCGTAAAACAGGAGTCTAGGTCACAAACAGTGTGCAAAATGGGGGGGGGGGGTCAATGTCATAGACTAAAGTGCATTTTTCAATCAAACCCATTATCTTTTCTCTAAGAGGAATGTCAGGGGAAAATAAACTTTTGAAAGAGGTTAGGTCTCCCTCTGGTGGAACTAGAAATGAATAACACATTCTTTTCTTTCCAAAGTAATGGATGCATATTCCACCCTTCATCATTTCCAGAGAGCATGAATAATCCCGTCTCATTAAACTGACATTTTCCTAAAAACAAAGCTTTAATTCATAGTGCCTTCTTTTTCTAAAACTTGATAATGGTTCGAGGGGACATAGAGAGAATCCATACTAAGGTTCCAAGTCAGTGCAGCATTATTTGGTATCTAATGGCACCCCGAGTACAAAGGAAACAGGCAGCTGAAAACAAACGTGTGGCCTAGCTGCTTCTATCTGTAGCAACAAGCCAGCTGGACACTGTGTGGGGGATAAAAACAAAACTAAAACATTATTTATACAACGAAAAGACGTTTGCATCATTCGATCAAGAAAAGAGAACACGGCCTAAAAGGGAAATTAACAGCAGCCTCTCTGCAAGGTTCAGCAAAGGTGAAGAATCATCTGCCACTTATCTACAGAGCTCACAACACACACACCCTCATTCCTAGTGAAGTAAAGGCGAGTCACAGTTCTCCGCTTTATATTACTGTCTTTGAAATGTTCACATGCTACAATGGACAGCATTGTTATGGAACTGAAACAGCTGGATCTGCTAGTCAAGTCCCAACACGTGACATCTACAGAAGCTAAAGCTAACTTGTTTTAGCGTTTATGGATTAAAAAGTGTATGAGGGGGGGGAAAAGTGCTTCGTTAAGTGTTTGGAATCAAAACTCATGGAATTTCAAAGGTAGTGCGACATCTCTGGATGATGATAGGTATGGATGCTTTACAGACAGGAGTACTTTGTGGTTAGTGTATGCAGCTTTTTAAAAGTTCAGCTGTATCCAAACAATCATCCAAACACTTTCCACAAACTATTACCTGGTAGTGTTGCGTTTGTTACGATGGTTCAGAGACATTTTTGTATTACTTTCATTTCAAACTACGAAACGCAAGAGTCAAAGATTATTATGGTGGAGATATCCAAAGATTAAAGCCAGAATTTGGACTTCCTGCAGGACTGATAGAGTGGGAGAACAGGTTGCAGTACAAAGAGGGAGCCTGTTTAGGTAGTGCCGCCACATGTCGTACAAGTCAGATTACTTTGGAATCTAACCACGTCTGCTTTTCTTCCTCTTTGTCACAGAGCTCGCTGACCAGCCCCTGCAGGCGGCCTAAAATCCCTCAGAGTCCATTGCCATCTATAAAAAATAAAAATGTACACTAGAAATCGCTGAGAATGCTGATGTCTGCAAACTCCTGGCGGTATCTGTGAGAGTACAGGGCCAGGAGAAACGACCATTTTAGGGTGAGGAAGCTCCAGACGCAGGACAGGTAGAGGCTCCTTGGGTCAGTGACAGCTGTGGGCAGAGCAAAAACACCGATTAGTACACGCAAGATACTCTATATGATGCTGAGTGTGAATAATAACACAGAGGGGAGGAGGAAATAGACGGGATTACATTGCTTCTGTGTGATAGCCAGCGTCAGAAACGTGACGAACGCAGCCACAGCCAGAACTGAGAAGAGCACGCCCACGCCGATGAAGAACTTGAGACCCTTGAGCCAGGTGCGCCAGTAGTCTTGGAGGTACATGATGTGTGTGACGAGTGCCCAGAGCGCTAAAACTCCTGAGAGAAGAAAAACAGACACATTTAGATTGAGTGACTTCAAAAATCATCCTACACGGCCCGGCAGCCAATAATATTAAAACTGAGCACAAACAAGGAGCCAGGTGGTACTCCTCTTTTGCCCCACGGGGGATGCCATTCCTAATGTCAAATTTCAATGTGACCAGAGAACCTTTTTTGCCTCGGTAGACTTTGTATTAAATTTGTAGAGAAAAATCTAATGATTTCTGGATCCTGTTCACCCGTCGCTGCTTGTTTGTACCACAGAACTTGATCGCACAGCAACCTGTTCAAAGAAGATACTTCTGAGAGACTCAGCCCGGCTGAGGTGCTCGCTTGATGTCCAGTCATGTTGCTGATAAGTTGCCACATGTTTATTCAAACCACCCGGCGTACTCGGTGAGTGTGCGTAGTTGTTTGTCTCTGTGTGAGCCTGTAATGTAATGGTGACATGACCAGGGGGAATTCCAGCTCTTGCCTTGTGTCAGCCAGGCTAGGATAATGGATGGATAGATGGATGGCTTATTTCTTTCTAATACTGCCAAACTGGCGGTGAGATATGCGGGTAAACATTAGCTTTCAACAGATATCAGTGACCATGTGATGAGAAACTCCAGTTTGACCTCATTTAATGCCCCATTTGTCCCTCTTGTTCAACCAATGGCCACTAAACACATCTTTGTCGTCCAGTTATTTAAGAAGTTAGCCAGGCTATACATAGGCCTAGATCATTTAACAAAATTAAAACACGTGTATTTTGTGCTTATTTATGTAAAAAAAAAAATCCCATCAACATTCATTCATTATTATTAGCTAACGTTCCCTTTTCGTTTTCAATCTTATAATCCTCATACTAGTCGACAGAAGTAGACATAAAGAAGTTTAAGCATTTTATCATGTTTGTTTGATGTTTTACAATTGAATGCCACAAACTGAGGCTGAAAATATCCCATAAGAAGTTTTTTTATTGGTAAACCGACACACAAATGCAGCCAAACAAGTTAGCATAGAAAATGGAAGTCATTTTTTTACGCTGTTACATCATTTAACCTACAGTGAGTTTCGATAGCGAAAGCAATTAATATTCCGGATTTAAATGTTTAAAAAATATGGTGTGTTTACGTACCAGACAGGCCTCCCATGGCCGCCGTCCATGGCTGTTTATATGCAATATTCCAGACCAAGAACGCCGAAAGTCCAACTAGAGTCCCAAACGTAGCATATCCTATGCTAATCCAGGTCCTGCTGAATGCCATTGTGAAGTAAACCTAAGTCTCTCCCAAACCCTGGAAAGTCGTGCTACACGAAGGTTTTTTTTTGTTTTGTTTAAAAAGCCGGACTGGTATTTTTAGCCAGAATCAACAGCTTACCGCCACATTATTATGTAACATCCTTTCCAACAGGAAAACGACAAGATAAAATTCCCCTTCGGCCTGGGCAGTTTTCAGAAATACCAACAGAAGTCCGTTTATGTGCTTCGCAACGTCAAAACGAAGCACAATTTACATTTGGACTGAGCAACACACGCAGTGACAGTGAGATGTTTAACGGGAGAAACAGCAAAGATAGCAAGCTAGGAACGAGAAAACAAGCGCACTAAATCGCCCTCTCCAGCCACACGCCAAGTAGTTGTTTGACGACGAATTTATCTCGTAATTTTCTTATTCATACGAATCCTAACGACGCATAGAAGATATTTAATTTAATTTCTGAAATGTTTATGCCGAAAGGTATACTCAAACGACTACGGAATTAGTCTACCTCTTATTCTTTAATTATTTTTGTTGACGGAAATCTCCAACCTGTAGATATGCTGCCCCTGCTGGAGCTACATGTAATTGCAATAGTTTGGCTCCAAATTCAGAGGAGCTGGTTTTACCTTAAACATTTTTTAAAAAACTAGCATAAAAGCTAAATCTACTACATTTTCAACTTCTCCTTACCATGAGATGTTATCCTTTTTTTCTAAATAGTAAACAGGCCTTTTTCAAATTTTCCGATTAATGCAAACCCTGTGTCCCCTTTCTTGCCACTTCAAAATTAATCAGAAATGTTGAAGACTCTCTCAATGGACCTCCACCAGTAGTCAGTTGTGCCAGGTGTAAGTATCAGCCTTGTTTTTTTTAAAAGAAGTGAGCAGTTTTAAGATTAATTGTGAAAGTGGATGAAGAATGTGCCTCTGGAACTCAAACTGGTTCCTGAGACGGTTCTAAAAGATAGTGGCCTGACAACTTAAGGCCCAAAAACAATTTTACTCTTGTCATTTTCCAGGTGCACCAAGCAAGCCAACAGTTTGACATTGAAGTTCTTTTTTAAGGAAAACATGGAAAAATTATGATTTTATTTCTATTAAATTGTACATATGGTTAGTACATGTTCATCTCATAATATTCATTACAAGCAAAGAAAATAGTCCTCAACAGATGTGTTTTATATCTGGTTTACGGGGTAGCATCTCTTGGTCAAAATAACTAAAAGATTCCTTTGAGTCGCGCATAAATCCAAGCTATTACCATCTAGTGTAACTACATAGCCAGGCATTATTAGTCCATAGACAACATTAATCTTGTTTGAATTCAGGACCATACATTTTAAAGTAATCCAGGCCTTTTTCTCTTTATGACGTGCTTGCGATCTGAATGTACTCTGACTGAGACCCTTCAAAAGTAACATTCTGGGTGAATGGTCAGAAGGTTGAGTTGCAAGAATTGACATTGAACTATATTTAGCCAAGACCCCTAAGTTAAGAACAGGTGCTTTTACAGCTATGTTTCAAAGCTGAAGTTCATGGCTTCAAAGCAAAAATAGATTATCTAGATCTGCTAAAGAAGTCTTTATTAGTTCAGTAAAGCTTCCTGATCAATCAGCTTTTGGCATGTAACAAGTTAGTTAAGAAACTACATGCTGCTCGATGGGACGAAACAGCCTGATCCCACATCACAAAGTAGGAAAGGGGAAATTTCTCTGATAACAGTTTTATTAATGAAAGCATTCATGAAAACATCATCGTTAGCATTTAAAGGCATATGATGCTCCTCAGAGCTATGGCTCTCAGTATGCCTATTACCAGGAAATATATCAAAGAAACCTGAAACATGTTGTTTTTAGCTCAGAATGATAAGTAAAATACATTTTAAGAAGGAATGTCTTAAACAATCTGCCGAGATGAATTGAAAGTATTCTAAAATGGTCAAATAATTATTTCTTTCAAGCTTTCTCAAAGTCACCTGCTAATTACGTCAACAGCTGGCTTCTTCCCACTGATTTATTCTTTTCTACTGAAGAAATATTGTCTACTGAAGTTCACATTGAAGCTTACGCTCTTTCAACAAAATATTCAAACTGTGTAGATGTAAAGTTTAGGTAGCTGTCCTCTGTTAGATTGAAACCTCATGGGACAAAATTAGAAAGACACGATTCTTCAAACTGAGTCAAAATATTCTCTGACGTATGAAGAAGTTTCTGCTCAGACGCTGTGTGGGCAAGTCAAGTAAACTTTTCTCAGAAATGGTCAGATAAGACTGGGCTGTGGGGAAATCCTGTTGACTGCCCCGATTCAATTTCAAATCGGGGCACATGTCAAAGGTATGATCCAACTGAGGCTAAAGTATCAAGACCAATTTAAGCCGTTGTTTTCAATAGAATTCATTCTGCATTAATGTCAGTTACCACCACTAATACTATACCTGTATTCAGCACTAAACCGAATTATAGAATGCTACAAAAAATGGCCTAGTTGGTTTTAAACTTGCTATTTTTAGTATTTCTGGTGTTGGAAATGTCTCAATTGTGACTACAGCGACAATAATGACACACAAGGCACAACTGTGGCTTCAAAGGCTTCCTGTGGCTGTCTGCAGAAACTCTGCAGTCGAGGGTGTCTTAGACTTTTTTTTTTTTAAACAGACGCAGAAAGCACCAACAGCCGCAATGTGAAAGCCGCAAACGAAAAACTATCATTCTGATACCGTGGTCGCCCACTTTCACACACTGCTGTTCCCAGCCCATGCCCTCCGGCACCCGCTTCATGACCAATCAGAGAGATACAGGAAGCCCAGTCCACTAACACTCCCATACTGCTCGCACAGACGACCCAGACTGAGAAATCATCTTCAGACATATGAAAGAAGCAAAGGCAGGAAAAAAAAAACAACTGGTTTCAAAGCCACCGAGCTGAAAAATCCAACAAGACAACTCCAGAGGTGAGTCGACAATTCACATGATTGAATGTAACTGACAGCTATTTTTTTATTTCTGCCATTATATGAATATTCAAGTCAAAAGACAGTTTTATTCATAATTGATCAATTATGGAATATTGTGACTGTAAGGACTTTAAGCCATTGACTTTTAATCAAAGTTGTCTCAAAATACAAATCAAATTAAAAAAAATTATTTTGGGTAAATATATTGTCTTAGAGTTTTTTCTCTTTCCCCTGAATTGATTCATTTGGTATCTGCACTTGCCAATTGAAGTGCGGTCGAGGTTAGATCTGACAGAACGTGTCTGATCGACATGTGGCGTCGTGAGAGTGTGGACTGCATTGATTTTAGAACCTTTCCTTATGCTGGCTTCACGTTCTGTCTCCATCCTCATTTGGCCATGGGGTCAAACAGATCAAATATGTATTTCCCTGTCACAGCTAAGTGGCCTGGAGAGAGGAAGGAAAAGGTGTACGTGTGTGTCTGTGTGTGTGTGTGTGTGTGTGTGTGTGTGGACAGCCAGACAAGCGCAACAAAGACAGTTGGCAAAGTACATTCCATGGGCGTAGATGTGTTGCAGGAAATCCCACTCCCATTCCCGGAGGATTTAAATAGAAACACACAGAAATAAATAGAGAAAGGGAGAGAAATAGACATGATCTCTGACAAAGCAGTGGAGCTCGTCTCTGGCTGTTGTGAAATGTGAAAACGACCATAACTCAAATTTCTAATTCTATTTCTTCTACTGTTTGGTGCTAAATGTAAAGAAAAAGTGCTCCAGCTGACTAATTTAATTGAATTTGTTCATTTGCTACCTTTTGAATGCAGCGTGTTTGAGATTTCAATAGAGGGAGCCATTCTTTTTTTTAAAGACGCTGCTGCTTTAGGGGGAAGTTTCATGCAAAGCATAATATCTTTGCCCTTGTGTCACAGAGGAGTTCAAGGTGTCAGGAGCCTGAATTTGATCCTTTGTGGGACTTTGGGCTTTCTGATGCATGTTTTGAAATTCTTTTCAAGCGGTTCACTTTGAGCCTAAAACAAGGTCACCCCAACCTGAGGCAGAGTTAATGAGCTTGAGTTTCAATCCCAGGGCTGCAAAGCAATTACCACCCTTGAATGTTTCTGGTATTCATCATCGTATCCTGAGATTATCTCCATCCGAGGCAGATTAGCCCCAAAAGAAGACCATTTGCTGCCTTCTGAGTGCCTTAAAACCTGTGGGTTTTGCATTTCCTACCAAACATAAATCACCTTAAACTGGCACATCTCTTTTGCTTTGGTATGTGTTTCTATGACAGTCCAGACAATGACTCAGTCAGATAGTATCGGACTGTAGCTGCATGCTTTTTCTTATCAACTAAACTATTGTGCTCACCCTCAGGAGGTCATAAGAAACTAAACTGGATTCCTTCATTGTGAGCATTCTTAATGTGGCATCACAGAGTGGCTGTAAGGCATTTGAGAGTTTAGTTAAGGCTCTGTACTTCCTCTTTGGTTTGGTTTGCTTTTATTCAACACTGGACTTTGAGCTAGCTACCGAGGCATCATCATGACTCCCCGGAGATTTAAACCTGGTAAGAAATCCCCATTTTCTCTCAATAAACGCAGCAGTGACGCTTCGCTGTACTTTTTTTTTCAACTGCAGACGGAACAATTGGCCTTCTGTCGTGTAACTGAAATGAAGGATAGCATTTCTTTAGGCTTCACTCGTTCACTCATCACACACTAATGGAGTGAGGCTCTGTGAGAAAAAGACGGAAAAGAAAGACACCAGAGGTGAGCAACAGGTGCTGTGGGCTTTTCATTAACAGAGACAAGAGGTGGTTTCAATACACCGGCCTCCTACATCTTCACAGCTGCTGGAAAAACGAAACCCACGCATGGAAGGCAGGGCCGAATGGAGGTTGTTGTGAGAAACCTTGGCAGAGCGAGCGACACTGGGGTCTGCACAGGAAGGGCAGCCCCGCTCTGAAACAATAGCAGGGATTTAAACAACTCTAGCCCAGGAGCCTGGAGCACACAGCTGATTATGATTCAGCTGGAAAACTAAGTCAAACGGAGAGTTTCCCTTGTCTAACAGTGTGTAGATTCACATGTGTCTGATTTGCCTGTTTGTTTGTTGTCCTTTTGGTGTTTGCTGACAAATAAACGAGTGGTGGCGCTGCTTTCTCTTTGGCTTCTTAGATCTCCTTCAAGCCATTTCCTCCATGGAAAACCTGGTCAAGTCCTTATGCTCTCCGTCAAGACGGCGGACACCAGACAGCGGCGAAGTAAGTCACGTTCATCTGTATTACAAAACAGAGGCGAGGGGCCAATAAAGAAGAGAGAGTGCACCGGGGAGGGGTTTTATGACTCCATAAACCCCTAATGAGAACCTCAGAGTTTAACACCTGTGCAAAGGACAAACATATGAGGGCATATTAAGAATAAAAACCTGGAGGAGGGGGGACATAAAAGCCTCATTTGATGCCTTAAGAGCTTTACCTACACTAAACTTGCCCCTTGAGGCGGTTTATCTGAGCCTCTGCAGACCCCGCTGAGCCTGACAGCTGGAAAACCTGATAAGTGCGCATACAGAGTTCCGCAGCTTTCTTCTGAACTGTACGAACTAAAACTCACACTCTGGTATGGAACACGGTGCCTCCCCTTGCACCTTTGACTATGTGTCCCGGCGCCAACAAGTGGTTTACAGTCCCCATTAGCCTGTGGGACCTGGTTTATCCGTGCCAAACCGTCCTGTCGTCATTGATTTCAATATTTTTCTTTACTCGGTCGCGCATATCGGTCCTTTTAAGACTATGGCACGTGACTTTAAAAGTAAAGCACAAACGTGAAAAATTCCCCTCTCCAGCATTCACCAGAAGAAAAAAGGTGCATGACACGGCAGATATCGTTAATTAGATTATAAAGCTGCCAGGGGGGAGGCCGGTGCGGATCTTTTTTTCCAAAGTGCGCACACACGCGAGTCAGCGCCAAAGTGCGCCTGTGCCGTCTTCAAGGGATGGCTGAGCGCAGCGCAGCCCTTCCTCACTGAGGCAGGCACTGCGAGCGAGGTGGGAGTCCTGAGATGTTGGGAGCCCATCCGGACGACATGAGGAGTCCCGAGCCGGCGTTCGCTGCGCGGTGTTGAGGGGGGTGCGCGGCGGGGAGCGGGCGGTCCACCGTGCGCCGCGGAGAAGAATGCCGGGACCTGCCGAGGATCCTCCGGTCGGGAAACTTGTCCGTCGGTCGCTCTGATCTGAGATATATATCTATATATTTTTTTTAAAAATGCATCTGTTTCGGAGCCACCATTACCAAGTGTTCCCGGACCGCTTCACCGTGGAGACACCGACCATCCGAGGCATCAGCTGGGTACGCCGCCGTAACAGTTAAAAGCCTGTAGTGTAGACCAAATAGCTGCCGTGGGTTTCCCAGAGAACAAGCAATGATGAATACACTGTACGGCAGCGCACAGATGACGATTGGGGTAAAGAGAAGGGGGTGAACATATCCATTTAACGCAATAGAATAAAGTGATCGTTTAGATAATAGAGGGTTTGTTTTAAAGATCACCTAAATGGCACTTGCTCTCCGGGATTATTCTGAAGTCGAGCAGCCTCCAGGTATAATAGTCATGATTTACAGTGCAAATTCCAATTAATGTATTTAGGCGTCAAGCAGGCAAAAAGTCTGTTGAAGATATTCAAAGTGTGCTTATGTAAGACTGAAGTATTGCTCGTCATGATCTCTGAAGTGGGGGAAACTCATGGTATATCTGTGTGTTTATGTGAGGCTGCAGTTTTGAAGTGTGTGCTTATATCTGTTGTCTCTAAATCATTGAATGGGGAAATGCACACAGAAGCCTTCACATTTTACTTCAAATTCGTCAGATTACTGCAAGAAGGAGGAAATGTGAGGGGGATCTTTTGATATCCATTGATTTTTCATTTTTAGTTAAAACTCAGACCTGAGATTATTAGTCTACTCACTTTGCATCTGATAAACTACAGCCTGTGGATTTTTTCTGGAAGTTCTTTGGGTTAAAAGTACTTTAAAATGACATGATTCAGGCCTGTCTAAAAATGTCTGTCCATTACTGAAAATAAACGGGAGTTGTAATTCTAGACAGAAGGTAAACAATGAGCTCCACCTCAGCCTAAAACAAGATGTATTAATATAAGAAATAACAAACTCCTGCTACACGCCGACTATAACCCAGCTCTACTGGCACACAGTTCACGTTCCCCCCCAAAAACAGCACTCTGCTGAAATTTCAAGAATGCTTCCAAGTCAACGGGAGCAGATTTTTCTATTGTGCTGGCAGCTCCAGCGTGGGGACACAGGAAGGTAACAAAGCACAAAGTTTTTCTTATTAAAGTCGAGTTATAAATAGTGTATTGTTTATTGTTCACCTTCCCTGCTACGCCCCCACTTAGTTTACAGAGGAGTGTGTGGAAGAATGTGCAAAGGGGGGAGGTCCTTGTTTCCAGGTCACAGGAAGACACCGGGCAGAGTTGAAAGGCTTAAGTTCTAAATTTACTCGATGCTTAAGTGTCAGTGAACTAGTGACAGCTTTAAATCTCCAGCCTGTCGTCCTATTTTTACCACCAAATAACCAAACTTTGAAAGATTATGATTAACAGGGTATAATGGGATTTCTGATCTTTCCAGGTTGATGCCTGACACTTACACCAAAATCAATTATTTTGTGCTTATTCAGGTCAACAGGCACATAATAGATTACACAACTTCCACAAGGCTGCACGCTTAAGTGGTTTTGCACAATAGGGCCATTTCAGTGGAGAAATTTAACCTATATACATTTACAAAAGGAATAAATGCGCTGATTTGACATCGCTGGCGGGATTATCTCCCTGTGAGAACCCTGTTTGTGCTGGTGCCAAAGCAGTGGAATGGGTTGGAATGACCCGGAGTTATAACTGCGTACATTTACTGATTTCGATCAGGCGAATCAAAGACACAGATCTCAGTTTTCTGTGCTCTTAAACGCATCCTTTTTCTCATGAAGAGATGTTTCCAATGCCGCACCACACAGCAGAGCACCAGCCTCCCTGGCATTCGTACGTTATCGTGCCAGTACAAAACAAACTGTGTTACTTGCGTGAATGAAATCCCAATTAACCGTGTCTCCACACAAGCCTGGAAGGACAATGGTTTCTCCAAATGTTTTACTCATGTCTGATGCACAGCTGCACACAACTGACAAAGTACATCAGTTATTCATGAGCGTTATAGAGTCAGTAAATCCTCAGCAACTTAATCAAAGTCGGTCAGAATTGAGATTGAGACCTTTCTTAAAGTTAATCCTTCATCCATGCTTAAATAGAGAAATTGGGTTTTTCTACGGAGAAGTTAGAGATTCTGCTGTTCCCTCCGTGATCATGTGACATAGCTGGCTGCACAGCTAGCCAGACAAAACATACCATTAGGCCCGGCTGCAGCGGGAGCCGACACACAGATGTGTATCAGTGACGTAAAGCATTATCACAGCTCCTCTATCGATGCCGTCAGCTACTGTATGTGTCAGCTGCGCCGCGTGATTACATATTTACATTGTTTTGATCATATTAATACAATCCACTAATGCAACATTGGGCAAACTCACATCGTCGACCCTTTAGTTTGTTCTGTTTATCGAGTGAGCGCATAAGAGGCGTGAGGGAAATTGGTCTATCAGGTCTCTATTTATCAGTTTTCCACGTTTTCTATCAGGTTTAAATGCAGCGTATTTTCAGTCTAAATAGACGTGACAGTTATGGACCATGAATTAAATTGACTTTAAACAGTTACCGTGGGAATACATGTACACAGTAGCAGCAACAAGATGGTCATAAAACCATAAAAAAAAGCTAAGCACCAAAGAGGAAGTCCTTCTTGGACCAAAGTACAGACTCATGACTGTGGAGTCTCTTTGCATGGTGCCAGGTTTAAGTTTTGGATGACCTGACTCATGAGTCCATCGGCCTTTAAAGAAAACCACTCAGCTTTCCCAACGTGAAACGTTTTTTTATAAGCTTTAAATGAATTACTTTTCTAGAGTCATAAGATAATTTCTTGGTTTAAAGCAGCAAAATGTTTGGCAAAGGGTTCTTTCCACACACTTGATTACACACACTTGCCAAACAGTGACTCCATGATGGAGACAATGAGAACACTGGTTTTAAGTAATGCGTTCATGTTGACCCTCCTCCCAATGAAAATAAAGTCATTAACACTATCTATACAGTCCAGTGTTTGTTTATTTCACGAAACCACCGGCAAGACTGTAATCAACCAGTCCAGCTGGTTCCTGTGGAATGCTGCGCCAATGTGATTTATCTGTTTCATTTCAGAGGTTTTACATTGGATATGATGAAATCCCGCAGTGGGAATAAAGTCTGTCTTTCTGTTTCTTTCAGACTCCGCTGCCAGAGGCTCTGAATTCAAAGGACACAATGAAACAGGTATGTATGCCAGGGAAATTTTTGGTTCTCCACCTCACAGTATACCAGAGATAATTCAACGTACTCATTTCAAAAGAGTGTGGTTTTGGAGCTAAATCTTCTGGGAATGCTTCTCACCGTCTGCTGGAATGTATCAACAGATTAACAAACTATCAAGAAGCAAATATTCAACTATCATTTTCTCAGTCTAGACTTCGTTACAATGCCTGGGAAGTTGGGAATGGATGCAGGGACTTACCTAAACATGGAAACACTGGAAATAAGAAGTCAGTGTCTTATGGAACACATTTAATTATAATAGATTACCAAAGTGTGAAATTGGAAGCGCACATAGATGGTAAAGGAATGAAAAGTAGACCAGTCAGACATAAAAATATATTTTCTAAAATTGCATTGATAAAATAAATGCCTTCCTTAGAAAATAAATGAGTAAATTAAATAGAAAGTAGACTAAATCTGGGAAAGGAAAAGACTAGGGATGTTTTTTAATTCTGGCACAGAGGAGTACAACCTGATTTGGAGTGGGAGGCTGTCCCAGATAATTGAAAAGACAAAGTCACCGCATGAACTTAGATCCACTAAAAGCTGCAGCTTGATTTAACGTCTGTTACTAAATCAGGAAATTCTACATTTTTACAATTCTAACAAGCTTGAAAGTCAGTATGTGCTATCGTTTTCATGTGTTCGACACAGCCTGAAGCCTCATAGACAAGCGCCATTTCTTCTCCAGGCTTCTTGAGGGATGTTCCAAATCTCTCTTTTCTATGTGGCTACCTTTTGTTCTGTTCCATGTCAAGATTATCCCAGACTACTTTTATAATGCCGTGGTCTGGGCTCTGGGTAGGATTGTCCCATCATACGGCTTGTTGGCACCCTTCTATGGGGGCGAACAGCCAGTAGATGAACTGAAAACTTCATCTTGATCTGCTTTTAATGTGTTGCATTGTTTTCTCCTGCCTTTTATTTGCTGGTTTCTTTTGTCGGCTGACTTTCCATCTTTTAAACTCAAAAGGTTTGACAAATGCTAAGAAAAACACACCTCTGATCAGATGACTGGAATGAAAATGGGTGGATATAAGCTGCAAATGTCCAAAAGAAATCTTTTACATACCTTAAAAAAAAACCTGGAGAGCTATTAGTTACATTAACTTAAACAGAAATGATGGAGTAATTGGTTCTTTCATCATTAACGTGGTCACAAGCCTTTGGGGTCCTCTGTAAGCTGCTGACTTTGAGCTTGACTGACCTCTGCTAACATCGAGACTTGCAGCGTTTGCATCCTCTCAAACTGCTGAACTTGTTCTTTTGTTGTTATAATATCCTGCATTACCACTCGAGCGCGTCTTAAAAGACACATTCCTAGCATGGCAGTCAAATGAAGTCTAAAGGGCACTCTAAGGCCCACAGCTAATTGACCCTCTCCACCCTGCTGAGCCCTACCTCACCCAGTCCAGCCCCCCTCACGCCGCTTTATCTCAACTTCTTCAACACGGTGCCAAGTAAAGAGCCTTTAAAAACAGTGATAAAATGGCCTGACGGGGATAGTGACTTCTGTTTAGGTTCACTGGTCTCACTCTGACAGGTGAGTTGAAGAGAATACTTCAGCTCCCAAATATTCAGTAAATGTTTGGAGGCCAGTGTTTCCGTGTTCGGTAGCAGTCCCAGAAGTTACTAAAACTTGCGTCATATTTTGACAGCGCTGCACAACAGCCCTAGTTTTAAAGTAAGGAGGAAGTTCTTCCACCTTTTGAATATCTTTCTTAAGAACGTTTTCATTATCTTTACTTGTTGTTCTGAGTCTGATTTAAGTATCTGCAATTTGATGGTATCTCAGGCCTGGGACGGCACTCCGTTGTGGTGTCAAGAGTTGTTTTCAGAAAGTTGTTTTCCTGCGTTTGCCACACAAAGAGAGAGGGGAGAAAGTCAACCCGTGAAAGCTTGCATTAAGCCGCTTGTTTACTCACTCGGTGTTCCTCTCGGGCAGCCTCTCACACAGCGCATCCCACCTAGGTCACACAGAGAGTAAGACACAAAGAAATGTCTCGCCTACAGAGGAGACATAGAGTGGGTAACTGTACTCATCACCATCCCACCCGACAAGACAAAAGCATGACATTAGACCACATATTTCAAGGCTCCAGTTCCTATGAAGTGTGAAGTCTGTGCTATGATCTGGTAGAAGCTACGCCGGTAATGATGGAATCCATCATGCAACCAGCTATGGCTTGTGCCAAATAGTGTTTGAGCAAACAGGCTTCACAACAGCTGCTCTGCCACTTGCCCTGCCAAAAGAAAAGAAAAAAAAAAAAAACGGGTGCGGCTATTTAGGATCCCAGATCTAGAGAGTAGCTGTTTGATCATTTAGGTGTGAACCAACATAATGTTGAGCCTTCGAACCTCTTTGTACAAAACCACTTCAAACATAACCTGTTGACTGTAAAGTTACATCAACGGCCGGACAGACTGGTCATAAAGTAGGTTATGGCTGCCCGTCCACAGGCTGAGGGTGCAGTTCTCTGCGGTTGGTGGTATTGACCAAGCGAACCTGTGGGAAAGTTGTTTGCTTAGTAATTCGACACACTTCAAACTAGTGCCTGATGGTTATAATCCCTAGATAACATGATTAAGATGCCTCCATGGACACTGTCCAGCAGAATAATGGCTGAATGAATTGCGCTTATTCCATGAAACAACTTATTCCTCTTTCTGCATGTTTACATGCTTGTCAGAATTGGCAGGAATCGAAAAATAAAAACAGCCCCCTCCTCGTGACATTTGGCTTTTCGATGTTGTTTTTTTGCGGGGACTTGCGTAGGTGATGGATAATCGCCACATCGAGAAAGCAAGTTTCAGAGCTGACACGCTTGAGAATGGGACCATGGGAGTCCCAGAGGAAAATGGGCCCCTGGGTACACAGACAGCCGCGGGGGGTCAGCAGACGCCTCAGGCCACATTAATCCAGACGATGTCAAGTCTGGGAAGAAACCGGCGTGCACTGTAGGGTTACCCTCTGCCATCCGTCATAGGGCTGGGATTATAGTTTGTTGCCCCATGTGAGTCTGGCTCGAACTGGCATGTGGCGTGACCCCTGTCCAGACGAATGAGCAATGGTTGTGCCTACGTCATCCAGACATGGGGTCAGGAGGGGAGGAAAAGGTCAGTGGGTGTTTTTTACATCCTGAGGGCGGTTCAAAAGACCAGAGGAGTGGAAAGGGTTCAGGGAGGTTGTTGTATTATTCTTCTTTAAAACGCCTCTTATCAAGAGAATATAGGACTTTTTTTTTGTGTGCGTTGCGTTTCGTGTGCATCTCAAGACCACAACCATGGGCAAACGACAGCGTCCAGAGGGAAACTCAAAGCACAAACGGGCAACTGTCTGAGTCTCTCGTGTAATCACAAGATATGCAGGAGGTGTCTAAGGGGGAGTCAAAGGGAGGGGGGGGGGGCTACATATTGACTTTCTTTCACTGTCTGTCATGAAGACTTTTAATATCTTGGGTAATGTAGTATTTAGGCTGCTCATTAAATGGGAACAGGCCGGACCTAGGGCAGCTGTATTAGTGAGCTACCAACCAAGCGCATTTTTTTCTTACGGGGGCTCTGCCTCAGTATGACTCCCTGACATATTTTGGGGGTATCTTTCAGGATCTTAAACCATGATGCAGTGAGGTGCACTTGTCTTAATCATGTTGTGGTGGCCTAACTGGGACATTACAGAGACCTATCCCTCAGAACAACAAGCCCTCATTATAACGTTTAGGTTAGGGGTTGACTCGGCCTAGTGCGTAACCAGGTTAAAGCCGGGTCGAGAAAATCAGTGTTGTGCTCTGAGGAAGTCCTCGCTAGCAGTGGAAACAAACACACCTCTCTGCGTGGATTCGTCCGCGTCTGCACAGACCGGTTCAAAAAGAAAAACCGCCTAGGGGGATCGGAAAGTGAAAGTTTTTCTCTCACTGCGTGGCAACCGCAGAGTTTGTTGAGGCTGGGAGCTGAGCAAGGTGTGGGAGAGCTTCGCAACTGCCATTTTTAACACGTTCTCACCTCCTTGCTACCCACACGCGCACTGCACCACACTCCGACTCCTACAGAATTCTCCACTCCGGCTGTGGATGTACACACGATCTCCACCACGCCGTGGGGAGCTGCAATGCGAAGTGTGTCCCTCCCCCCCTTCCCTTACACACCAACATTTGTCAGAGCGTTCGCTTTACAAAAGTTGGCTATTTTGAGTAAACAAGGGCCATCTGTGTTACAAATCCTCCTTCGTGTAATTTTTTAAAAAGGCCACGAAGCATGGAACACTACAGAAGTTCAACTTTTCCTGTTTGTTTAGTTTCTTTCAGATCGGGTTGTGAAGGCGGCAAGATCGGTGTACAGCGTCATGATAGAGAGGAACCCCGGTCTGATCCGTGACAGAAAGTATCACCTGAAAACATACAGGTGGGACCGCTCTCTTCTTTGTCAGTGAGAAAAAATGTCATGCAAGTTAACGTGATGATATTCCTCTCGCAGGCAATGCTGCTCCGGTAAAGATCTGGTCGACTGGCTCATGAAACAGAATGAATGCCTCCAATCCAGAAGCCAGGCCGTTGGGATGTGGCAGGTCTTGGTGGACGAAGGGATCCTCGTTCACGGTACAAGTTTTTTCGTTTGTTTTTTTTAAAATAACAATCGTCAAGAGCTCGGGCATTTGCATAAGCGGTGGAAAAATTATTCCACCAGAAGGTCCTGTTGTTCTTTAATATATTCTGATGCTTCTGTGTCCGCACTTGAACATTTCCCAGAAGTGCTTGAAAAAGCTTCAAATGCAGCAGTCAAGTCTGTCAGCTCATTTGTTTTTGCAAAGTGTTCTCACTCAGCGAAGCAGTCGAGAGTTGGCCAACTAATTATGCCCCCTGGAAAGAGGGTCTGTCTTCCTGATGGAGACCACTCCAATCAGGACAAAAGATAGTCTATCATCTAATGGAGAGATTAAATTTACACCTATTTGCACCTATTTCCATTTACGTTGAGCTTTGATGACACTGTGTAGACTTTAATAGAATCCCAAAGGAAAAACAAGCTCTGTTTCGTATCCCCGTCTCAGTGAAACACGAGTTGAACTTCCTCGACAAGGACGCCCAGTTCTACCGCTTCCAGGACTTCCAGTTAGGCTCCAGCAGCATCGCCAACGAGAAGGACTCAGAGGACGAACTGCAGGAGGCTCTGTCTCTGCTGTCTCAGCTGGGTCCAGATGCTCTCCTCACAATGATTCTACGCAAATGGTAATTACTGCTTGCTGCTTTTCGATTCCCCCCAACGTACACGGTATCGCATATCAATACCGTTATCGTTTCTCGTCCTTTTGTCCAGCTCTTTAAACACCTTGTCCTCTCTTTCATTCAGTCCCAGTCAGAGAAGTGCTGAGGACCTCGAGGTCATCTATGAGGAGTTGCTCCACGTGAAGGCCGCTGCTCATCTCTCCACATCAGTCAGTCGCTATTATCTCCTGACATCACTAGATTCATGTTTCTTTAGCAGATGAGTCCAATGATATGTGGTCATGTGATATGAAAGTGCAGTCGAAAGGGTTAGGCGCTATGTCGTTTCTGGCACAATTCTTACTAATTCATCAATGTTAAGTTCTTCTAGTGGGGAAAAAAAATGCATCATCAGGGTTATGTTTGTAGGTGCGGAAGGAGCTGGCTGCCGTCCTGGTCTTTGAATCTCACCCTAAGGCCGGAACAGTGTGTGAGTATTTTGGCGTTTGCTGATGTTTGAACTCACAGGGACCGTTATACCACATAGGTAGACGCCGTAGAACTGAACCCCCTTCTGTAACTCCCCTGTCACATGTCACAACATTCGGAAAGCGTGCAAACTCCGTGCACCTTGACGAAAAACAACCAAAGCCATCGTGCCTTTTTTCGTTATTTTCCCTCTCACTGCCCGTCCGAAGTCAAAGCCCAGCACAGATAATTGTGCTGTAAGCGTGACTGACATGGTTATTCATTCACAGAGACATGCGGGGATGACTAATGTCCAACCTCTTTTGTGTGATAAAGTGTTCAGTCAGGGGGATAAAGGCACCTCCTGGTACATCATCTGGAAAGGTTCGGTGAATGTAATCACACACGGGAAGGTAAATCCAAATGATATGAAATTCATTCCAAATAAGCCGGTTAAAGTGCTCTGACATGCTGAAGGTACGGTGTTCACGCAGGGCCTGGTTACCACTCTGCACGAGGGGGAGGATTTCGGGCAGCTTGCTCTGCTTAACGATGCTCCTCGCGCCGCCACCATCATCCTGAGAGAGGACAACTGCCATTTCCTCCGTGTCGACAAACAGGATTTCATTCGGATCCTCAAGGTTTGTCTGACTTTGTAGGTTTTTTTCCGTTTGTAGCACCGTGACCTCTCAGATGTCAGGAATGAGAGTGTCGAATTGATGCGTGCGTACAGAAAAAAGGGACATTTCACAGTGCTGTAGTAGTTCCTGAAAATCCCTGTCCCTTAGGATGTGGAGGCTAATACCGTGCGACTGGAGGAGCATGGGAAGTCTGTTCTGGTGTTGGAAAAGAGTGCCGACTCTGCGGAGCAGGGAGGAGCAGGAACCAACAGCAAGTGAGAATCTCACACACTCACACCTGACGTAATACAACAGCCGCTTGTTAACAGTACAGTTATTAATATCAGAGACTAATATAAATCAGAGACTGGCATCAATGAGCTGTTAGCAGACACTTAGTAAATAAATGGACTTAAGCATCAACGCCGAATGACCTGGAACATTCTAGCTAACTTAAAAGTGATCATTTTCTTTGTTTCTTGTTTTACTTGCACTCCTACACACCGTTCTTTTCATTTCATCCCACCAAAGGAAGAGTCCGATGAGGATTTCGGTTTTGGCACCAGTCTGTATATTGAGACAATTCGCCTTCAAATCGGAGTTTGTCACAACGCCCACGTCAGGACCCCTCTTGACTCACTAAAACCTGCAAACGTTTGGCTTTTCAGCGCAATGTCAAAAAGTGTTCCATTGCCGTTCGGTCGAATAACTGCAGTGCTCACAGATATTCATTGTCTCCAGCTCAGCATCAGTGAAAACACATTGAAAATACCCAGATGTGCTGCTAATTTTCACTGAGGGTGTGACGGAGGAGGCTACAAGACTGGCCGCAGAAGACTTAGTCACAGAGACATCCTTTCAAAGGTCCTTTGAAAACAATGGAAGCAGCAACTCGCAGAACAAAAGTGATCACATTAGTCCCTTTTAAGATTTCAAAACATCTTCATGTCAAAAGTTTATTAAAAGTTGTGGATTATGCAAAGCCTGCATGCTATCCCAGCGTTTCGTGCTGTCGTAGTAACAGGACTGGCTTATGGAAGACACCTTTACAAGCAGCGGGAACAAACATGAGCTGCTCCTTTTAGCAGGAATGCTATTGTGAAAATGAAAACCCCACACAAATAAACTGCTGTGGGTGTAAAAAAGACGGCATAAGGAGAACAGTGGGAAGCAGTTATTTTCCCAGGAACACAAATCCTGACAGTTGGATCTCCATATGCTGTGAATATGTTTAGTTTTTGCAAAAATGAATAACTTTTGAGAATAATATATGGTAGTATAAAATAAACTATATACAGTAGGTAATTACCAAATAGTGGAATACTAATGTACCAGAAAAACACGCGTTAGAGATTGACTGAATCTCTGTTTTGCTAATTTGTTGTGACCTTACACGTGCTGCATGTCAAGCGTACGATCTTTTATTATAGCTGCAAATATTTTGCAACATGCAGAACACCAAGAAATGTCTTATTGTGATGTTTTGCATTAACTAATCTCGCTCCCATTTCATCCCATTCTGCACTTTGCAGGTACACAGTTATGTCTGGAACGCCTGAAAAAATCCTGGAACACCTCCTGGACACCCTAAAGCTGGACTCTAATGGAAGCGATCCCATAGGTGGGAGCCTGTGGAGACCTCTTTTTTATGTTTGTTTGTTTTTTGTGTTTAATTGCAGTGGAAACAGGGTTTTTCGAAATTGTCTAATCGGTCCATCGTGGGTTATTGGTGTTTGTTTTCTTGCAGATCCTTCTTTGAGTGACTTTCTCCTCACCCACAAAGTATTCATGCCGTCCAGTCAGCTGTGTCCTGCTCTGCAGAACTAATATCCTATGCTGGTTTAAGGCTGATAAGGATGTTTGCTGATTATCAGTGCAATGATGTTTAGAATGAGGAAGTGTGCTACTAAAACAGATTTATTTTCTGAGAGAAAAAAAAGTCTCAAAACCTTTTTTGCTGCAAAATCGTTCATAGAATGCCCTTAACTGCTACTGCACCTACCAGGCTGAGCTCTCTGAAGGGTCAGAGCAGGAGAAGGCCGCCTATATCCTGAATGCCAAACAGAAGGTGGTGAAGCTGATTGGCCAGTGGGTGGCACTGTTCGGCCTTCTGCTGAAAGAAGACTCTGTTGCTCTGGAATTTTTGGAGGTGGGATGTCAGGCTCATATCTAATTGATTCAACAAAAAAAGTATTTCAGTTTTTAATTTAAATTCTAATAAGATGTTTTTGTTTGCTTTGATTGATTTCGATTTATGGGCTCAAACAGAGCATGAAAAAGGACGTGGCAGCTGATTACCGTTTGTCCAGCATTCTGAAAGAACAGTTTAGGGAGAGGAGGAGAGTAAAAGTGTAAATATCCTCCCGTATTCTAAAGCATTAATACCAGTGGATATCAATACATGCTTTTTAATGCATTTTATTCATTTTCATGCTTCAACAGACTGGAGAACGGATATCAGTCACTGAGCAGGGTGAGCATAACATGGTTCTTGATCTTAAAGGAAATATGTATTTTGGCATGACACAACATTGTTAAGGATAAAGATTTTAAGAGGAAAAATGTCTTGGTATCACGGTTGCGGTCACTTGTCAGTTTGTTACTGAGTCATTTTATCACATTCACCAGAGCCAGCAATTTGACTGGTTTTCACACTGTGAGGAGCCATTGGGAAGGTTACAGCCAATCAGAGCTCAAGACAAAGGTCAGTAAGGGTCAGATTTCTATCTAATCAGAAAAACAAACAGTGATATGCTACAATATATGTAGCAGAGATAAATCTGAGTATGAAAACTGGGTGATCAGCCCACACTACATGCTCAGCATGATGACGCATCGCCACATGTCATGGCTCATGTCATCAATCATCAGATCAGCATTCCTGAACATTCTGGCCTCTGTCCAATCTTTTCTTCAGTGTTGTACGAGATCTACCGAGGAGACAAGCCCCTCACCCTGATGCTGCCTGTCGACACGTCTGTACAGGATGCGATGGCGGCCATAGTCAAACCCGGCGGAGACCACGTACTGGTCAAAATGAACTCCACAGGAGGTGGGTCACATTTGAGGGGGATGTCATAGGTTTGTACTTCCCATAGCAGATATGTCAATCAGCCATCACACTGAGACCACTTAGCCAAAATGGAGCAGGTCTTCCTTCTCAAAAGAAAGTTGTTTCCCAACCAAGTGGCTTTAAGGGTGGCCATTCCCGGCAAGTTGATAGTTGAATATTTGGGCCCAGCTGATACAAATCTAATTGAATTTTCTACCAGAGGATATTAGATTTGCCTTTTAAGTATTTGGAGGATGAGAGAACCTCTTGCACCTCAGACTGTGTCTTGTTCTTTGAGCCTTTTAAAAGTAGGGGTACGTGGAGCCCATTAAATCCAACTAGTGGAGATTATAATTTTAGGAGAGCGGTAGCTAATTGATATGGCATATGAATACCAGCATGTAGGTTTGCCCAGCAGAACATTATCACTTTTTTAACAAGGTGATCAGCATTGGTCACAGTACCATTCATAGGTTTAAGTGTTCAGGCTGATTGCATTTTTATAGATTTATTTGTTTCAGCTTTGTTGTTCGTTCATTGTATTCATGACTATAAGATCTGTCATTATACTTTTTTATGCTTTTCTTTTTAAATGTACACAGATAGAGCACAGTTGAAACTAGATGCAACCGCTTTCTACACTGCCCTGGGTCTCAACGAGAGGCTGTTCATTTGCACAAGCAGCGAAGTGGAACAACTGGTGAGGAATAGGTGCCTTTTTTACATTACATACACTTTTTGTTTTCCTTTTTTTAAAAATACATATTTAGTATTCTATTGCCAAGAAATACACACCTTCTCTATAATTCCTTGTATCTTTAAGCCCAATAATGGGATATACGCAACCATCTATAGTGTTTATCAGGCCAAATCTGATTTGAAATATTCATGTGAACACATCAGTCTGAACGGGCTTCTCAAAATCTGGTCAAGGATGGTAGTCCGGGTATATGATCAAGTTGAGCCGTGGTTTGTCTCAGTTCTGCATGCAACTTTGCGGTTTGTCTTTCAGAGGCCTCTGAAGGAGCAGCAGGGCCCAGAGCAAGGAACGACCGACGTCCTCGAGCAGATGAGCTCCAAAGACATCGCCACTGAGCTCACCAACTATGACTGGGAGCTGTTCACCGCCATGCATGAGGTCATTTGCCCTTAACTAAAATGTTCCACTAGATTATCTTTTTAACAGTGAATTTCTCACACTGTCCTTTATTGTGTAGCCTGTAATCGCTGTTTTGTGTTGATTTCGCTGTTATTTCATTTATGTGAGTCATTGGTCGCTGGTCCTGCAGGTGGAACTCGTGTACTACATATTTGGGCGTCACAAGTTCCCGGGGGGCGTGACGGCTAACCTGGAGCGGTTTGTCCGGCGCTTCAACGAGGTTCAGTACTGGGTGGTGACGGAGCTGTGCCTCTGTGAGGATCTGGTCAAACGGGCCATTTTGCTCAAGAAGTTCATCAAGATTGCTTCAGTGTAAGTGTCAGAAGAACGCTGCATATAATTAGAAAGTGGACAGAGAGTGTACCACTTTGGTTCTAATAGAAATACCTGAGCACTTCTAAGAATTGCCATGAAATTCTTAGTCTTAAAGAACTTTGAATGTATTTACTGTGGAGAAAAGCAGAAGCTGATATTATTGCTATATATTATTACTATTAACAAAAATACACATATATCAATACAATATCATGTCATTTACATTTATATTTATGAATTTAGCAGATTCATTTTTCAGCTTACAATCATACAATTTTAGAGAATAGTTTACAGTAATGGTGACAACACAATTTAGCTCAAAATATCAATGTGTTTTCCTACTCAGAAGGCTGTTTCTGTGCCTGCTGTGTTGCTTTTATTTTATTTATTTATTTTGATGTTATATCCCTCACAGGAGCCAAGTAAAAGCATTTAACTATTGATAACACTGCTGTTTAGCCACATATGTCTTCTCTGCCACAGATTAAAGGAGCAGAAGAATCTGAATTCGTTCTTCGCTGTGATGTTTGGGCTAAGCAACAGTGCAGTGCACAGGCTGTACAAAACCTGGGAGGTGAGAATGAAGCAGCCCCAATTATAATTAACATTTATGTGAAAAATTGTTATGAAAATAACTCAAGTGACTTTGTCTGTTTCTTACAGAGAATACCAAACAAGACAAAACGGATCTACTGTGCATATGAAAGACTGATGGTTAGCCAAACCTTTTATTCTGCATGTTTTGATTACTTCTATTTTAGATTCGAGCACAGCTTCTATCTCCATAAATGGATTTACTACCATAACTGTTTCTCTGGTTCCGTTAGGACCCCACAAGGAACCACAGGGCCTACAGACTGGCTGTTGCTAAACTCAGCCCTCCCTACATCCCCTTTATGCCTCTGCTGCTGAAAGGTAACAAACACCACTAATCTGCCAGCCAAATATATGTACACATCCCTGATATGATCATACTTACTATTTTTGTTGGTGTGTGTACTTAGACATGACATTCATCCACGAGGGAAACCCAAACTACACAGACAAGTTGGTCAATTTTGAGAAGATGGTATGTCTGGATCTTTTTTTTGGGGGGGGTTCTGTTTGATTATGTTCACTGCATACTTCTACTCTGTAAGTGAACCCTTGATTTATTTTTCAATTTCTTTGTCTTTTCATGTTGTAGCGAATGCTTGCCAAGACAGTGAAAATTGTTCGAGGATGCAGGAGTCAACCGTATGGTAGGTGATTAAGCTTTTGTTGCCACACAGCTGTCTTTACCCTTCAGGGTCTGATGATGCAATATACAATATGCAGTGCATCGATTCACATTTGGCCAAGAAGTATATCATATTCTGTTTTCCTTCCAGTGCCTTCATCTCCACAGAGGGGCTTGGCTGATCGGATGTTTCTGGAAGGGCCTGCTTCTCGTCTATCCACATGTAAGTTACAGTCATGTGAAAAAGAAAGTAAAAAGAAAGTAACGTAAGAAAATATTCAAAGTACAAGAAGGGTTTGTCGTAGACCTCTGATGCTGTGCATTATCGCCAGATGGCTCCAATTTTGTCTTATCTGTTTAAAGAACATTGTCCCACATTTTTATCTTCAGAATAATGTGGTCCAAAAATATAATTTATTATGTTATTATATGATATAATCCTTAACAGACCGATGGGCTGCGACAATATGTTCTCTAAAATGACTGCTCCTGTCTTCCATGGCATGGTATCACACAACTGTTTTTTAATGCAAACTACTAATCATATGCACTTCCTTAGTCTTTCATTCCACTTCTATTTTTTTTTTCTTTGTGTAACTCTTTGTATTACTAGTGCAAACCCTCAAGAGTGCTTTGTCAAACGTGATCTCCTCCTCTCATCTAGATTCTGACCATGCCCTTCCTCTACGGAGTCCCAGCAACATCCGGCACTACATTCAGAACCTGAAAGTGATTGACAACCAGCGGAAGCTAACGCAGCTATCGAGAACAATAGAGTGTTAGAACATTCGCCAGCAAAATATTTAAACACTGGAAAACTGATCAAATCGGAGGCAGAGAACCAACTGCAGCTGGATGAAGAAAAACCTTCCCGCTCAACTGAATAAAACGAGCCTCTGGTGACAATAAGTGCCATGGAAATTCACTGTAATTCAAGGAGTTCGGACGGCCTGTGAAGCTCTCTGCACTGCACAGAGAAATGTGTGGCGTGCACAGTCATGACCTCCGACCCTGAATCTGTGTGCACAGGACTCTTGGGACAGTTTTTTTTAATCCAACAAGCCTTACATCACCCCAAAAAAGGCAATGTAACACCATGTACTAAAGTGTTAATTTCTTTGGTGTCAAAAATACATTTTATGTGACATATTGTATACTGCTCTGTTTTGGAGCCAGCACATTACAAATCTGTGCCACAAATAACCACTTAATTTAGCTGTATATGCACTTTTGCTCTCCCTTTAAATGTAACAAGTTGTCTCATACCTTTTGGCAACAAAGTCTCTAACTGACATGCACATAATTTCATACTGTGTTGTTTTTTTCTAAATAAATTATTTTCCCAGTTATGTGTATTCAATGACAGCACAATAATGTGTAAAAAGGGAAATATTTTTATTAAAGGTACAAACTGTAACAGGTCAGATTTGGCATTCCACCTGGGAGAAAAAAAAAACAAAAACAAAAAAACAGGTCCCCCCAATATGGGGTGAGAAATTTCACAACAAGTCAGTTATCAGTTGAATTTAAAATTCTCTCCTACTCATAAATATGTACAACGTCTTTTTGAAAGTCCTGGAGAGTGAACGTGGGCTAAGACAAGTTCCAACTAAAAGACATTGAAAAGAAAAAAAAGACAGTGCCTTCTCCTGGTGTAATCATAGAAGAAGTAGTAAAATGAGCCCTTCATTATAAATAATACGTTGACCTATTCAGTAAGGAATTTTATCATTGAGAGAATGTGTGATAGAGAATCTAGGCTCATAGCAAAACTACGTCTTTGTGGACCATGTAAAGGTAAATCACTCTCCAGTCAGACGGTATGATTTAAAAGGAGGGTTTTGATGACAAAAAAAAAACATTTTACATATGTTTAATGGAACAGTGGTGTTTGGACAGCTGCAACATAAATCGTCAAACTTAGTAAGCATATCCAAGCTCTACTCAGACACGCTCTGGTGGCCTGTGCTATAAAAACCGGTGAGATCATGCAGGTAGTTCAGAGAAGTCCAGTGAGGTGGGTGAGTACATGTGAAGTGGGAAACATCCTTTCAGAGGTTTGACTCAACAAATGGCTCTGGTTTATCAGGACTCAATCAAAGATATGACAGAAAAACAAGAGAAAGCACTGTAATAAAATAATAATAAAGGTGAATACAATTATTGCACTTCCAAACAATGTGTAGTTCCCAGTGCCTAGTTGTTATCCCTTTGTTAGAGGTATTTATGCTATCATGTTCAATAGTAATGCGGAGTTGTTTAACCTCGGTTTTTTTCGCGCTCCAAAGGACTAGACAGTGGGAAAGGTAATAACTATCCACGCGCACACACATAGACGCTCACAAAAAGTTAATTAAATATGGCATTCACACAAAGGCACGTATGCATGAAGGTAAACATGCCTACGCGCACACTCACGCAACCCTAACATCTAACCAACAGACATGAAGTATTTACATTTAAGGCACGTTAACCCTATGTACAATGACATACGAAACCAACACAAAGAATTCAATTGTTCAGTCCCTGTAACCTTTTGGTTGTGTGTGTGTGGGGGGGGGGGTGACTTCAACCACTTCTCAATCATTTTACCCATAAGACAATCGAAAATACAGTATCTCAGTCAGCAACTTGGGCCGTAAGCTGAAAAAAAGCTGATCCGTCCGTCTTCAGCCTCCTGTCCAGGCTACATCTCTGCTGATTGTCGTGTCTCCGTTCTATGACCACTAACTCTTCGGCCTCCGTTCAAAATGAGCCCGACCCAAATCAAGCAGGAGGACGGACTTCAGCGTGTTCTCCGGGAGACAGAAAGACCACACTGCTCCAGGCCTTGAGGTTTCACAGGTCTGTGGTGGTTCCAGTCCCATCCCAGTGGACCACACTACGGCACTGACCGTGCCGGCAGTGCCAACTCTGAGCACAAACACACAGGACTTAAACAAAGCGATCAGTAGGAGTCAAATTGAGAACTCAAAGGAAGGTCAGTCAGTCTTTGGTGTCTTTTGGAGTAATATCAGTAGATTTCCTTTGAGTGCAAAAAAACACTGTCCACCAAACCTGAGGCAGAAAGTGACCATACTTATGAACAGCTGAGAAACATCCATCGAGAAATGTTCTATTCCCGCTTTTCTTGCTCAGGGGCATGCAGGGTGGCGGAAATTCATCCCAGGATGCACTGGGTCAGAATCAAATTTACACCTCAGAAGGCTTAAATTAGAGAAAAAATGTCAAACTTTTGCTATCAAAGCTGGAAGACTAATTTGCATGCGATTCTGCCCGTAGTCATTGTAAAAACTTTGAATTGACAATCTGCATACGGGACAGATCAAAGGAATACTTTCAGGCTTTGTCAGGCAACCTGATTCACTACTCCCAGAGGCTACAGGCAACATGTGGCCAAATCCTGTCAGAGGCTGCAAATACATCAAATCATTAGCACCACTATTAAACAATTATCTGGGTATTACAGAGCTCACAGGAATCCACAAATGTAAACCAAACAAGTTGCTGCATTCCCAGGCTGGTGATGACCTGTAAACCTTTAGCAGTAACTTTTGTTGTACAATATTAACATTTAGGCACTGAGATAGGTTCTATTTAACAATCCCAACCTGATATCGAACAAAGACATAAATTAAAGATAAAAAAAAAAGAAAAACATTCATTTGGCTTGGAGATTTTTGGCTTTTTTTTTCATCCTCTAGTGCAGCACAGTGGAGTTCCAGTAGTCTCTCTTTCATGCAACTCTTCGCCTGCTATCTGATCCACTCTACATGTTTCCACCGTGTGTCTCAGTTGCAATCATATGGTCAGATATCGTGGTTTTGACAGCTCTGTTAGGCCTCAGAGGCAGCCTGTGGTTTGAGCTGGGCTTTCTCCATGGCAGTGCCGTAAGGTACGGATCGCTTGAAGAAGCCGAGCTGCGCGGGGGAAAAGAGGAAGAAAGAATCAGACATAAGCTCTCACAAATACTTTTGAGAGAGACCATGACAAAAACTTGTTTTAAAGTCAGCCACTGACCCTGTATAGGACGTAGATAAGGAGAGCTAGGAGCAGTAAACCTGCCAAGATAGCCAGAATGATGATCCAGAGCGGAACCGAGTTCTCAATGTCCGGCTTGTTCCACACCACCGGTGTCACCACCTGAGGATTACAGAGGCGTTTGCCTTAGTCTGTTTGAATGAAATAGCAGGAGCAAAAAAAAAATCTAATGAACAAGGAAGGAGCATAATTACCTTTTTGTGTCCGCTGGGGAAAATCTTTGGCAGGATTGCATATGGCGTCTTCTTCACACTGTATCTAGCCAGGCACTCCAGCAAATACTGCTTGTAAGCTCTCTGATGAAGGAAACACATGAACGAAAAAAGAAAATCAAAAAATAAACCCTTGCAGTGTGCTAAAGCTACACTAGGTGACGACACAGGCCGCGTGCCACTTCCGAGGAAAACTCCCCAAAGCATTCCGATCTCATGAGAAGCTGTGACTAGCAGATAATGAATTTCCAATACAGCGCTCATAATCCAGGTTAGGGGAAGCAGGAGATGGAGCGTAAACGGTATGAGCACACAGGTCGAAGATGTAGTCTGTACAACAGTCTGGAACCACCTCGCACATTTGTCAAGGCACATATGTGAAAAGGAAGGGAGGGGGTGTACGGGGGGGGGTTGCTGGCAGCTGATTCAGAAGTGAACACAAACAAACGTGCCTGACTACTGCGGCCATTCGCCTCTGTTTGCATTTGAGGTTGAAGCCATGCTTTCTTTTTTTCTCGACGCGTTAAGGCTAACGCCGCCCTGCCGGCTGCCAAAGCCTGACATGTTTGAAAAGATACACAAGCAACCGTGCAAAGAAAGCCAACTCTAAGGTTCGGCCCTCGTTCCTGGGCTGGGAAACACATGTGTGCGGTGCGTGTGCGGTGCGTGTGTCGGAGCCGTTTTTCTCCCACTGACCTCGGTGAAGGTCTCGGCCCAGATGCGGGAGCGCACGGTGAGGATAGCCGTGGTTCCCTTCTCCAGCAGGCCCACGTTGCACTGGAGTGTCCAGCACTCCACGTTAGAGCAAGACTACGGGAACACAGAAAAAACACACGGCAAAGGGATAAATCATGTGATTCCAAAAAATACTTTTGACATGACGGGAGGGACGAAAGATGAGCACAAACTGAGACAAAACTAATAAACATGATACGCATCTGTGTTAAAGGTGCAGGTCGGGTAAAGGCAACAGAGAGCCTAATGTTTTGGTCCCGTTTCCACGCCTGCTTTGAATTAGATTGAAGGAATGTCATGAGACTGTAAAAATGCAGCATGGACCACTTGCCACATTATTGCCCAACCACTAAAACCAGCCCGTTTCTCTTAAGACGGTAGAAAACGCAATCTTAATTAGATCCCCATAAGGCAGCTTTAACCTTTTTAAAACACACAGGGATGGTCCTTTAGGGCTGGTGCTGAGACCAGACCACCCCTGCACCCAAAGGCCCCGTCAGGTTTCCCGCCGCAGCGCATTAGTTTGCTTATTACCCCCAAGCAGGGTATTCACCAGAGTTAGGTCCCCACCCAGTTCCTGCGGGCTCAGTCTTAGACGGATTTAATGAGTTCTGAGACAGACGGAGAACATGTCAGTCAACTTCCTGCTGGCAGAGCTGCTTAATGCCCCAAGAGCATTGGAACCAAAAAAAAAAAAAAAGTCTGAGAAAATTATATGAAGAGTCCGATTCTCCATCCCACATCTGCGGGATTATGCGGCGCAGATGTGGATCCGGATGATGCAGGAAGTTTTTCCTAAAGCTCAATCAAATAACATAAAATAAACATTCTGAGCCAACAGCACAAGTGTACAATTCAACAGGCTGGCACTTTATAAAATCAGAAGGAAAAAAAACTTAACTAAAAGTTGGCAAAAAAAAGAAGAGCCCCTTGAAAGCATTGCCAAAATTTGATTTGAGAGTTTATTTTGATGAGCCTCCAAACAAAAAACATATTTCTGGCTCAGCTGCAAACTTGTGTGTTTACTTATTTTTTTAAGTTTATTAATGATGTTGCTGACTGGTGGAAAATTAACATAAACATGTGGTGATTGTGGGTCGCAGATAATCCAAAAAAAAGCGGAATTTCAAAGCACACGTTCTGTAATACCAAATCAGGATCGTAAAATTTCCCTGCAGGCCCTAAAAAACATCTGCAGTGATGATTCATATTTTCGTCCTCGACATAATTCAATGCTAAGTGATCATTTTTGCATTTTAGGCTTGCGATGCATTCAAAAGAGGCTGGGATTGTAAGGCTTTTACTATTCTCCTCTTTGGTGTTGTCATTGCCTCTCAAAACACTTGAATGTGGCTCTGGCACTGAGGATACCATGCATACATTTATTCTTATTTATTTTTGCTCCATTCTTCCTGTAAACAGGCCTAATATGTGCAGCAGGACAGAGAAACCATTGTTGCTTTTTCCTTTATCACAATTCCCCGCTGCGAACGGGTCAGAGATGTGGGCATACCAATCCAGGACACAAGCTTTCTTATTTTATTACATGAGCAGAGGTTAAATTTGGGGAAAATCTCTGATGGAATTTTAATGATTCTATTCTTTTTGTTCTAAGGAATCCAAGTCCTGTATTCATCCATGGACAACACACGTCTCTACCGTGTGATGGTCCGTATCAGATGCTTTAGAGCCAAAGGACACCTTCCCACATATCTAACTTAACTTAAGGCTTCTTTTTTGCACAATAACCTCTTTAGAAGTATTTGTGAATGCAGTGCTGCGCTGTAATGTTAGACAAAGGTTTTCCAGAGGAGCTCCTTAACCATGTGATCAAATCAGCAGTTTTTTGATGCAGTGAGGACTCAAGACTAGGTTTCCAACAAAGACTTACACCCTTGCCCATCACACACAGAATATCTTTAACTATTCCACTATTTTGCAAAAAAAAATAAAAAATTATAATAAACTTATTTTTTGGTTGCCAAACTGCTGTCTTTGCCCAACCTTTGGTCCTCAAGAGTTTGATTATTATAGTGTGGGATTATAGTTTTGCCAAGCTTTTGATAATCACTTCAATTAAAGCCAGCCTTTGACCTCTATGCAGAGCTTAGCTCTTCCAAAAACAAAGCCGCTCTCTCACAACGCCACCTTCATCCAAGTGTGGCAAAACCTCAACACACTCTGATCCTAGCATCTCTTTGAACGGGGACGTCTGTCCTCTCGGGCAGAAAAAAAGCTAAAGCTCGGACACACGGGGAAACTGGAGAAAGGGGTCCTTCATGTGTTAAGTGTCACTGGACATGCTCGATAAACAAGCACAGACTGGCATGGAGACAAAGACCTCTTTGGTGGAGGCAGGTATCCACCGATGAGACCAGATAAAACAGTTAATTGCATCTGGGCGGATCAATGGGGCCTGTGTATGGGGGGGGGCTCGGGATGTTCATAACACCAAGAGCCAAAAATGAAAGGGCAGCCTGCAAAATAAAAGCTGCTCACCCCCCCATGACTCATGTCCTTTCAGCCTCCCCAACGCCCACCACTAGCAAAAGCTCTTTTTAATCTTAATTGCCACAACAGGACCAGCCTGTGCCCTATGACCCCTCCCTTTTAATTACATCTTAACTTAATCACTCAACCCCCTGAGCGTCGTATAAGAGCTGGACCCCGTGTCACCAAAACAGATCCAGATCTTCCACTTAGAGCAGCTTAAGTGACTCATATGAGCAGCAATGAATGCGTCACAATAGTCAGCTGAAACAATAAAAACATCGTTTGATATTTGATACCGAGTTTCATCTCAAGAAAGCAATATTTGCCCCCCAATAATCTCACCAGGTTCGTCAAATGAGCTAGCGGATTCTTGTGGACGTCCCTCCTGTCGACGTGGTGCTCATTGGCCTTCAGGGCCAGAATGGGGGACTCTGTGGATGTGCGCTGGAGCTGCGGGAAGATGCAAATAGAAACAAACGCCCATAAGAACAACACGTTCGCCCACTTCACCGGGCAAAGGAGCGCACCACCCTCTCTGTCAATACGTGAACCTAATGTTAGCATGACCCCGAGGCTTTTTTCTCATTAATCAGAAGCATGTGAGCTCTCCTCCTCTCAGATTCCCGTGGAAATACACCACACTTAGCAATACACCGGGGAAAAAGAAACATTAAGTCATGGCCAAAACAGATGATCACTCGGGGGGCCCTGTTTCACATCTGCTAAGGTTCTGATGTAAACAAAAACAACTGCACTGATACGCTTTGGCCCACAGAATCCTACGGCTACCGCTTGGTATAAACTGGGTGTCACTCTGAAGAGGGGGGAGCGTGGTGGCTTCCTAAGGGGAAAAGCTGCAACTTCAAAGCCTTAGTAAGTGTACCGGGTGGGGCTCAGAAGCTGGGAGAGGGAGGCTGGATGCGGGAAAAAAAAAAAAAAAAAAAAAATGGGGCCAACAACATAATTGGGCTTATTTGTTCCCAGGAAGGGGGGGGGGGGAAAACAGGACCCCCACTTTGAGGTTGAGGTGGTTCAGTTTTTTGTCGGAGGTGCAGTTGATTGGGCCCTCCGTGGAGAACTCCAGAGGGTAGAGGAGGGTCCGGGTCTGGGCACGGAGCGGGCAGCGCAGCTCTAGCAGGGTGTGGCTGATCTGACTGGGTCCATTGTTCACAAGCTAGAGAAAAATGAAAGGAAACACAGCCATCAATATAATGACCAGCCCCTTATAGTTCCATATCTTATAGCAACAAACATCTGCATTCTTCCTACTGTTTCTTTTCCATGCTGTAACCCCTCTTATCGGGGATGTTTCTTTAATATCCACATCCGTGGAAATACATAAGCTACAATCACTCTGATCTGGATCTGACTTTCTTCTTTTTTTTTTCTCTCGTTTTTCTGGGAAGCGAGTTTCTTCAATGAAGGGTAGGATCTACTTTCCAACCCAGTTAGCTCTGCTCCGATGAGTATACGTCAGATAAGGGCGTCTTGATTACCTCATAAATGTGTTCCACTGCCGGCCCGACATCTCGCTCCTCCCCGTAGTTTTTGGGCACTTTCCAGTTGGCCGGTGGAAAGAAGACCTTATCTGGTCGAGATACGCTTGAAAGAGGAAGGAGGGCTGTGAGAACATGTGCAGGGAGCAACTGGGAACTTAATGAAGTCCCACAAGTTCAGATGAGGGAATTCTAATGCTCAACTCACCCCTGTAGAATGACATCAGCCTGGACAACCACGTCCAGCTTGTAGGGGGCCACTTCACTATGGGAATTATTCTCATTTTTACTGTGGAAGCAGAGAACAAGGGATGAGCTGATGTCTTAGCAAACTAATAGGGCAAAAATACGTCCATATTGCCTTTAAGTGGAATGTTTTTGTTGTTTCAGATAAGTTTGACCCTCTTTTTCTTTTAATTTTACATACAAATGTGTTTATATGCATACTTCCTCTTATTTTTTTAGAAACTCCCTCTTCTGTACAAGGAGAGCCAACAACTTAACAGGCAGAAGCTTATCCGATAAAGCTGCACTTTTCTCAGTGGTGACCTCATTTAAATTGAAATGTTTCAAATTGTTGGCTGAAAGAAAGTTTCTTGGCAAATTTGTTTATTTCCATTTTAACTTTTGCACATTTGGGGAAAGAACTGTTTAAAATAGGCTTTGACATTACAATATTGATATTCCAAATCCAGCATCAATTACTGGTGAACACAAAAAGATCAAATTGCCCTTTAAAAGGAATTTCCTGTTTTGTTTTAATGCGTTCCAATTTTTTTAAACAAAAGGTTGAATCAATGGATTTTTTTTCATGACAGTAAATGTACCTCTACTTGAGTAAAGACTGTATGTACTTTTGCAGTCTCTGTCAGGGAGCTGTGTGTGGACTATAATAAACTCTGGATAGTATAATAATATTTTACCTGCGTATCTGCAGCTCGAACTGAACAGTTTTGTGCGTGTCCCTCAGCCGTGGCACGGTGAAACGAAGACCTGCCCAAAGCTGAGGAGAGAAACATCATCAGAATTCAACAAAAGATACTACTTTCCATCACCACCCTGCGGGTAACAGAGAGGAACTGGCCATAATGAAGTAAAAATCTGTTGCCGCCTGACATCACATCTGCCTATTTCTGTTCGGTACAGTTCACAGTTTGATTATAAAATAGAGAAGTCTTCCTGTCACTCCCAGTTAACATGCAGCTGACAGACTTCCTCTCCAGGCCTATTAAAAACATGCCAGCTTGTGACTCAATCGTTAACAAGAGGAACTCTTCCCAGCGGGGAGCCTGAGAGCACAGATGCAGCCGGTACTGACTGTCCCAACATTTCCTGACACGCACCAACTTTTCCTGTGCCGTCCAGCTCCCAGATCACACAAAATGTACCTGACTATGAATAAGAAGAGGGGTAACGGTGTTCTTACATTTGTTCCAGCCTTCATTGGGTTCCCCAAATCACAGCTGAGGAACCGGGTCTGGTTCTCTGTGTCATAGCTGCAGGTCAGCTGGGTCAAGCTCTGGGATGAAACGGGGTACTAGTTAGTGCCCGATAGGTGGAGGCGTGAAGTTTAATCTTTTTTGGGGGGTTGGTGTTTCCTCTTACCTCATTATTGCGGGCAATACCGCTGTAGTCGGCCTCGGGGGGCAGCACCACGTACAGATCTGCCTCGTACGCCCCCCCCTCGCCCTCATTCCTGGCGTTGAACGTCAAGGTCAGCGAGTTGTCATCCCCAAGGTAGACTTCCTTCCTGTCGCTGAGGGCCCAAAACAAATAACTAAACAGACCGAACGGCTTTATGGGGAGATTTCCAGCACAAATAAACCCAGATCAATTTGTGAGAGGGGTAAATGGAGTAGCCGAAAATTGTCTGGCCATAAAGTAGCAGATTTTGAGGCTTTGTGGGCAGCATAACTAAGCTGCAAACAGCGGTGATTATATCTATAACACAAACTCCAAAAGGTTGAATGATGTTTGTAAAATAAAACAATTAGAAAGTACAGCCGTTCATTACTTTCTCTCCTTCCCACTACCAGTCTGAACACTTAAGAACAATGAGGAATTCCATTTGGAGGCCAACACAGACGCATTTAATTACACCCCGTTCTCATAAAGCAGGAGAGTGAGAGGGTGAATATTTCTGGAGCGGATCGTCTTCTGTTGTGTGTCTAAATGACATCCTATTTATTTATTTATTCTATCAAACATCGACTACAAAAAACGAGGGAAAAAAAAACAAAACTCCAAACCTCCCACAAGAACCGTTGGCCTAACAGGTAATGAGTTTTGGCGGTGAAATAGAAAACTGAGCCTAGTAAAAAAAATAATGATAATGAGGAACAATTCCCACTAAATCATGACCATCCTGGCTACCTTTATAAATACCACTGAGCTTCTCTAATCAACAACAGAGAAGACAAAAACAAATCCTTTAATTACCATCATTTAACCCTGCGTTCGACATCTAATAGACACGGGAGATTATTCCATATGTGACAAATCCACCATACGTTTAAGGAAAACATGGAGGCAGATGGTAGATAAATATAGAAAATATGAAGGCAAAATGACAGAGCAGGGAAGGGAGTATTAGGGAGGCTGTTACTTTTGAGAAAAATGCAAACAGATTTCTCAAAGTGTGGCCTGGCTTGCCACACTTTGACTTGGGAGCTCCTGACGGCTACAGGGCCAGATGAGGTTGCCTCTCTGGGAAAAAAAGCTCTCGAAAAAGCTTCCCGTCTGCTCCTTGTAACTGTTTGTCGTTCCACCTGTAAAGCGGAGCTGCGGCATGTTTTCACAGAACGGGGCGTCCCTACTGTACAGCAACGCCGCGGCTATTAACACTCCCTCTCTGGTATGTTAACCTAAACAAAGCAGCGCAACAACAAAAACAGCTGTATTTATGCTGCAACACTCAAATCGAGGGTGCGGATTAGCACAGCCGGGGGTGAAGAGTTCACGGTCTGCATCCCGTTCAGGGTTCAGCACAAACACACTTGAATTGGATTAGTAGAGACGTAAATATGAAAAATAGGAAGAGACTCACCTATAAACAGCGAGCTTCAAGTCGGGAACACAGATGTTGTCTTCTCCACAGTCCAAAAGAATCTGAGCCTGAGAGATGCAGAATGACGTGGTAAAGCTTTAATATTGGGCTAAAAATAATCATTATCTCTTCTATGTGACAGTAAACACGAGATGAATCGGAACTCTAGTTAAAGGGCACGATAGGATGCGTGTAGCAGGATGCGACATGCAAGCATGACTAACGCGTTCCAGCCCAGACTCCCGACCACCAGCCGACACACACCTGGGCCGCAGACAGGTGTTTGCCAGACATCATCACCGCGCTTCAGACAGCTGGAAACGACGGCGTGGCTCTAGGGGACGAGGCTGCCCCGGTGAGGTCACGACAGGCCCGAACACGCCAGCGTGACTCACAGTTTTTTTGCTCATTCGCTTTATTATGTTAAAAAAAACGGGGAAATAACAGGACTCCTCGTCCTGGAGGAGATAAGGAGCGCACAGCTGCCAACTCTCACCAGCGGCCCCACATCACACAACACCCCCCCCCCCCCGCCGACCACGGCTGTGCACGGTCATATGGAGGAGGAGGAGCTTCCCTTTAAGCTTCAAACCTATTGATATGGGATATCTCTGTTGAGCTGAAAACAGGCGCGAGGGTTCACAGATTACAGTGAAGGATGAGAGAGCGGAGGAGCAGCCAGCGGGGGGGGGTAAAGTGGACGACCGCTGAGAGTGTGGCGGGGCAGCGGCGGAGAGAAAGCCCTGCGGATGGCTAAATTGCATCCTGCTGCAAAATGACAGCGCGACGATCCTCGCGACGATGAGGATAATAAGTAGAAGTGAAGGAGGAGATTACAGAGAGCAAAGCGGTCCCCCTTGTCATTACGCCATCCACGGGGCTCTAATTATGGACACCATGTTAACCGCCACGCTAACTTGGCCACACGTTCACCTTGATCTGGATGTGTCTGCGCTAAAGGGTGAAAACAAGCTTTCGAGAGAAGATGTACTTCAATAACAACATCAGTGATGACATCAGCGCGTGACATGATGCAGACCAACATCATGCAAGGAAATCAAAAACTAGCATAGCAATATCATAAGGCTATATTTATTAGTCATGTCCACTTGGTGAGATTGTATCATCTTAAGAACAATAAGGGTGTTTGTACACAATTTCAGCCATTTCCCAGAACTAAAAATGTGGCAAACACTGTAAATCTTGAGAGGCTGGATACGAAATGATAAAAAAACTTGATAATTAAAAGAGCTTTTATAATGCCATAACGCTTCATAGGGTCATGTGGAATATATTAAGAGGAGAAAGAAAGTGATCCAAGCAGATCAGCCATCTTTCATTCCCACTCCAGCTTGAAAAGAACTTGGCAAAGTCAATGAAATCTTACATGGCCGGCTACACACTCTAAGCATATGTGAAAGCCAGCGGAGCATCATATGTCTGATCTAATCCAAGGCTGTGGTGGGATGGTCACTCTTCACTGTTTATACACAGTTGCCTTCACACAATATTAAGCAAGATTAATGAAATATGTTGGCAGTCTGTCGCTATTCCCACTCGTCTCTTACACACACTTACACTCAGATCGAGTTTGCAATTTTCGTTTTCAAACTTCCCTCTTTTTCTAGGTTTAAGAATGATATTTCGGTTAAGGCCTGTCTCAAGGATTTTGGATCAGACCACATCTGGAGGCCACACTGCTTTGATATCTACGAGACACATCAGTATAAGGACCAACGGGAAACGCACCAGGGTTGAGAGTAAAAGAGAAAAAAGGGAGATCAAACTATGCTGATTGCCATTCCTAAATGCTCCAATCTGATAGCTGTTACTGGATTCAAACATGGCGCAAGCTGTGCCGCAGCTGAACAGATGTTGACTAAAAACTTGGGGGGGAAAAAAAGTAGATCAGTAAATAGCAAAGGCTGCTCTCCATCCTGAGAGATCAACCATCCATTTGGAAATCACCGATTAACTATCATCACCAACAGGTCAAAACTTGTTCCCACAAGAGTATGGAAACATTCCACCGCACATATGTCCCGTGTTTTCATAAAGTAACCAGCTTTAGGGCTTTGATTTGAACTGCTTTGTGGATCCCTCAGCCCTGTGATGGACTGGTGACCTGTCTTTGCCCCTTGCCCAGTGGCAGTCTAAGCGACAGCAGTATGGCAAATAGCTAGATGGATGTAAATTCCCCGGGAGTTAGTCAACTGTCCCCTACCTTCTGCTCGATTACGCTGGTGGTCTGATAGTTGAGGATGGGCCGCATGCCGTGGGAGTCGGCGGCAGCTTCCGGATCCAGGCTGAAGTTGAAGGCCACAAATATGGAGGAGAGTTTATCCCTGAAGTCCTTCTCATCCTACGGTTAAAGAAAGACATTGTAGGTTTTCTGTTGTTTTTTTTTAACAACGGTCAAAATCGGTTTTAAGACCTAAGTCTTAAATTGTGTTTGTGTGTTGTTTTGCTTTATTTAAAGAAAGAGAGGGCATACTCTTAGGTAGATCTTTGTTTGGTTGCACAACCGCTCGCCGTGTCGCACCCTCAGTTTCCTACGCAGCAATGGCTGCTGGGAATCCAAGAACAGAGCTCTCTTCACAGCACCCTTCTGCTTGTGCTTATGGCTGTCAAGCTGCACCTCCACCTGGAAATCTGGAAGGTATAACGCACAAATGACCATTCATGCTTTGATGAATGTTCTTCATGGGCTCAATGACAGGTCTGAAAAAGAGCACCGTAAATGCTCTGAGGCGCACACAATGCAGTCAATGTAGTGGAGGGCGTCTTTGTGCACACAGGGTCTAATAAGGTAAAGGTAATAACTCAAAATTGATATGGAAAAGCGCGGGACACAGAAGAGGACTGATTATTAAACCTTGATCAGAGAAGACATTTGGCGTTTGGACATTTGGATCTAGTTTTGTTTTGTTTTGTTTTTCTATAACAAAATCCTTGAAAATCTACATCAGATGTTGAAGCATTTTCATCTGCAGATTTTAGTAACTAAAACATTAACAATGATGGCTAGTTTGCATACTTGTAACAGAGGACAGATGTGGAAAATTGGCTCACCTAAGTTGTCTGGTAAGTGCTTCCCCTCAGCAGAAATGCAGAAACTCAGGTTGACACTGTTTTGGACAGAAAGAATAAGGAAATGATGAGAGAAGCATATTCATTAATGGCAACGATTCACTACAAAAATAACGTGCTCTCCTGCCCTCTCCGTTTCTCTAACTTCCTCTCATGGTCCAGTTTTCTTGTGTCAGCTACTTACACGCTTCGCATTACATGGCATGGGGCGTAATGGGAATGCCGCGAATAATATGAAAACAATTTACAAATGTTTTAGGGACGGGGCTGGCATCTGACCACTCTGGCCAGCTGGGCTGATAAAGGAGTGTGTCTCCGTTTCCACCCACGGCCCCCTTAAAACGCGCAGACTGGCGCAGCGGAGTTAAGAAGGGTGAAATTGAGCAAAGTTTCAGGTTTCAGAGCTGACCAGTCAGTGGCTGTCTCTGTAAGCCCGGAGCTCTCTCCCATGACATCAGCCACACAACATGCTGCTGCTGGCCAGGTCTGCAGCTCCGAAATCCCCAGCCCATTTACAGCTAACTGCATAAAGAAATACTCAAAAAAACCTAAACTAGAAGGACGAAAAAGAGAAAAAAAAAAGGCAGACAATGCAACACAAAGGTTCCTTTTGAGGAATAATGACTTGCTGTACGCGCTCTGGAGTCTTTGCGCAACTGAGTGCGCAAAATCACAGGAGTCTACGTGTCCTGATGTTTCCCAGCTGTGTTCCACCACCAAACAATATCTCATTCAAAGCAACTTGCAAAAGCCTCCCCGCCCCTCCCCACCCGACCTCCCTCCCATTATCCCCTCTGCTCTGCTTTCACCCGCCAAATACTCCTCATCACCAGGCAACGTAGCATAATCAAGACATATGTGTATACAAGAGTTTCCTTTATGGTTCAGGATGTGGAGTAGGGGGGGGGGGGGGGAGCAGACACATGAGTGCAGCGTCAACCATGTCGAGCAGCGAGTAACTGTCATCTGTTTCCTCTCCCCTTTTCTGGAGCTGAACACTGAGCGCATTTGGAGGCATAAAGCGGCCAACAATGCTGCTATTCAGCGTGTTATTTCTCTGCTGTGAAATCAGGACATTTTGTAAATAGGTCAAATAAAGGCAGCGCTCGCTACAGGCCAGTACTGTGACTGCTGAAGATGGGGATATTGCTTATCAGAATTTCCTGGCAGGATAGTATTGTTTATGTATTATGGGGGGGGGGTTGGGAAAGTCATCTTTTTTTTATGGAGTGGGGTCACACAAATACAATCAAGTCACAAGACAGAGTGATGGTTAGTGGAAAGTCTGAGCACGCACCAGGAAACAGGAATGCTGGAGTTTCCATTGGTGATCATGCAGTTCTTCTCCTCAGGGTTAATCATGGTGGGGTAGACTGTCAGGGAGGCACTGGTTTTGACTATGGGTCGGGACCTGGGAGTGAGAACAACAAGGCACAAGTCAGTAATCAAATTCAGTTTCCACTTTTGATAACATGAAGTCCTATTATGAATTCATCAGAATTATAGAGATGTTATTCCACCTCTTTTTCCTCCGGCACTGAATGGTGATCTGCCATTATGCTAATCTGACCCCTGACCTAAACTATGATAAAAGCATTGTGTTTAGTCAATTTCTACAGTCCACTACGGTCCAAGTTATACTAGCTCCAGGAAGAAGCTAACTAGGAGCTGAAAGTTGGTCAAATAGTCCCAGAGATGGTCTATTTTCTTTGACTGGTGGCACACAGCAGAGGCAAAGCCAAGCAAAAAACTGCAATACCTGGTCAGCTAACTACTTGCTTAGAATAAGAGCAACCAGCTGTAGTAATGCTATGCAATTCCAATGCAATGCTATGCAACATATATTTATCATAGCTTTCTGGCATCTAGCATCATTTCACACGATCCTTAAAAGTGCATGTGAATTGGCAGTTCCATCCTATAGGTAGCCAGTATTAGTCAGAACAGTATCTCGCACATATGGGCTGCTTTATTCTGGCTACATTACAGACATTCCATGGTAAGTGACAGATAAAGCATGGATTTTTCTTTCTTTATAGGAACTTTAAGGAATCATTAGAGAAATTTGGAAATATGTCCATTTTTGAGAAAATGTGTCATTTTAATAATTTCACTGTGGATTTATTTTCTCCTACCTACTTTTCAATATGAAAATAATACATTTTGACCCAAAAGGTACATGTTGCCAAATCAAGAGGATGACTCAAAACAACATACCTGTAGAGAATGGCCTTATCAACACCAAAGGCTCCAACAATGAGATCTAGAAATTAGGAAAAGGAGAGGAACAAGTTGGGAAAACATCGTTAGAGCAGTAATGAGCCGCTGATGGTCATGGCATATGACCAGTTTGCAAACACTTACCTGGGTATCCGTTCATGTCCAGATCCTTGGCCCCTCTGAGGGCAAAGCCAAAGCTGGCAGGAGCAGTTCCAGCTGCCCACTGGCCCGCGATCACTTGAGAGGGTTTTTCCCTGAGGCCTTCTGAGTATCCGTTATAGATGTACACCAATCCCTGCCGATCATCCCCTCCGAAAGGACAGCTCACTGCCACGTCTTCCAGAGAGCAAAAAGTGACAATTAAAATATTAGTTTTTCTTCTAAATGACACAACAAATCAGTTCACACAATTCCGTTAGAGAGTAAAATCCTAGTTGGAAATTTGACCCAGTTAGTGTCAATAAAAGTGGCATTAGGAGAGAATAGTTCTGAGACCTACTGCAACCCTGAAATTGACTTTATACAGAGGAAAAGCAAATAAGAACACAAATGACATTAAATTAATCAGGACTGGATATTTTATAGACAGGGTCAGGCCTTTAAGACATTAGATCGATCCACTTAAGACAACTGTCAGAAAGACATTTTTTGGTGTCATTGTTTAAATTTATTTCGATTGACGATTACTTTCCACTGACATATAGTAAAAACTAATTTATTTAAAAGCTTTCATTGCCAGGTTTCTTATGTTTACCATTAAAACCATCCTGGTTCAGGTCTCCCAGTGGTGCAATGGTGCTGCCAAATCTCCCAAACACCTGGGTGCCTGTCAGATGAGGTTGGCTGAGCTCCAGGTTCAAGGGGCCACGCTGTAGATAGACATAAACCCGCCCCATCTCCTCAAGACGGCCGTCAGAGTCACGGACCATGAGCAAAGGAGCTCCAACAAGCAGGTCAACCATCCTGCCGACATGAAAGAAACATCTTACAAACTCAAATTCAAAGTCAGACGGATGGATGCAAAAAAAGGAATGGTTTCCACTCACCCATCACTGTCTATATCAGTTGTTGCCACGGCGTAGCCAAAGTATGAACCCATCTATGAACAAAGATGGTATGTTTTAATTCACCAAGAAAGCAAACTCAGAAGAGCTTATGTTTTTTCTGACATTGTTTTAAACACTGATTGTTCCATTGACAATATAAAGGAACACTTGATGAAATAGCAAAATTTTGATGGGTAGCCTAGAGTTTAAAGACTTCATTTCTGCCATGACCTTGGTCTAAAAAAACCCCAGAAGAGGCCGTCCTGTTCTTTAATTTATTCAGTAGAATCATTATTGTTTCAAAACTATTCTATTGCAAAAAACTACTTGCACAAAACAGAAGCTGTATTTTCCACTTGATAAATACAATACATATTTACAGGACAAAAAGAGGCCAGGATCTAGTTAAACTGTTTATTTAATCATTTTCCTGAAAAATGAATGGACGTTTAAAGCGAGATTTTCACATACCTGTTCACCGGTGTACTTCATCATGTTCGTCATATCGGTACCATTCAAAATAGACACCTGCCAAAAAAAAAAAAAAAAAAAGCACATATGGTGAACATCTTTTTATAAGGTCTTATGTGAGCAAAGTCTCTGGTATGGAACTTGAAAGAAAAAAACAATTCCAACATTGCAGAGCCTGTTTTTTCTATCTTTTACGTTCCCGCCTAAGGCCTATCTCTAAAGCCCAGACCTATCATTTCTACAAATGGCATGCAGAGTCCAACGATTAAGCGCTCTTACCGAGCCATAAAGCATGAGATCTTTTGGAACGCCGGCCACAAAATCTGAGAGAAGAAGCAAAGATTTAGCAGGACAAGCCACAAACCCCACAGGACAACAGAACACATAGAATATTTATATTAATGATGGTCCAAATGTTAAATGCCAGTCTTTTTTCATGGATTTACCTTCTACCTGGTCGCCGCTGAATTCCCCAACAGCAACAGAGTAGCCTGTTAAACAGACAAAGGCCCAGGCGTCAATATCAGCCGTCATAACAGAAAAATGAGGATGGCATTTGTGAGCGCAGTTTTTGTCAGCCTACCTTGGTAGCTGTCATCGTTAAACAGGAACTGTTTGGTCTGTATCTGGCCCTTGACAGCCTGCATAAAGTATCCTGGATAGTAAGCTTTGATGATGTCTTCCTTGGCTGCTGCGATCACCTGACCTAAAATAGTGACAAAATAAAAAAATAAATATTAAAAAATGTCTTCTTTTTTTTTTGTTTTAATGCATCTGGTTAGTCTTTTCTACGCACCTTGCCAAAAATAGCTACCTGGCCCACCCAGGACCACTTTGCCATCCTGAAAGATAACATATGTTAATTAAAACAACGCAAAAAAAAGATTTCGCCAAGACCATACTGGTGAGGAACAAAGAGAAACGCGGTTATTACCCCGGTGAAGTCAGCACTGAATCCTCCCTGACAGTAGCCTTGTCCCACAGCTTCACCAAATTCTGAAACACGCAAAGCTGGCTGTTATGAATTACTCATAGGCGGAATCGTTTGCCAGTACAGGCCGCCTGGTTTCCAGTGACGAGAAAGCACGTTCTCTGAGACAGATGTGCAGATTTATGGAGTAGCGACCATTACCTGTCCGACATGGGGCAAACTCCACAAAGTGGGTGAAGTTGTGAACTGAGAGGTAGCAGGTTCCCGTGGCGTCCGAAAGGGCTACGTCCTTCTCAGTCCGCCAGGAGTAGAGCGGGGCGCAGGCCTGAGGCACAGCGGAGGAGGAGGGAAAACGGGGTTTGTCAGAGAGGAGATGTGGTGATGAACGGGGTTGAGAGATGTTTTTCCAGTTGGAACAACACTCTGGTGAGCTCGGGGGGACTCTCACTCTGAGGTCACCGCTACATCTGGACCAAAGCAACTATCTAACTCAATCAGACCCAACAACAGGCAGCTAAGCGTTCATGTCACTTGTGCGCAAAATGATCGAAAGCAAACAGTGAAGCAATCTGAATATTGCAACCGAACTCAGGGGCAACTTGAACTTTGCCCCACCAGAAGATACCTCCCTTAGGGGGGGAGGGGGCGGCCGGCTTACCAGAATGGTGTCGCCATGAGATCGCACAGTAGCGCCGAACCATTGGTTGGATTTGAAATCAATCTGGTGGCTCGTCCCATTGATTGTCAGGAAGCGTTCCCCTGTGGAAAAAGGCAGAAAAATACAAGTTATACGACCATGATAAAACATGCATTCCATAAGCTCGACCTCAAGTATCCTAATTCCTCCGATCTCTCTCTCTCTCTCTGCTTTCATGCTCTCGGAAACATCTGTGCAACTGGCAGACAGCAGGCTCGAAGACTCCAGTTACACCGGGTTTCATGCGAGATCATCTGTGTGAGAGAGTTTGCCACAATGCCTCTCACTCAAGAAACGATAGCGGCGGCTTATCTTGGCCAGATTTGGGCTGGATTGGACAGGACTGGCTTGACCCGGGCTGACCCCTCAGCTCTGTTTGGCCACCTGGCCAGTAACACTGATCTCCCACTTTGACAGCAGCAGGTGATATGACAGATGGTCCCAGGAGTCAGGTTTAAACGCGGCTTTATTGGAAGACATATGTTACATCTGTGCTGCTGTAAAGAATGAAATGCAAACAAATCGATTTGGCAACAAGGACTCCGCCACACCACAGAGCTGGTACCAGAGTGTCAGTGGACATCTGTAGGAGAATGTGGAAGGATTACTGCATAGGATTGTGACCTATGAGGACAAAAAGCAAAAAAAAAAAGGTTCTTTGTCATGCCTGTCTCCTTTTAGACTTTGGTTCCAGCCAACTCGGCAGCCTCGAGCTGAGATGAAGGTTTGCACCGTGTCTTTGTGGAAACAGCCTCAAGACCGGGGTCCAAGCAAAACATACACACTCTGGCCCCGGCTTCCTCACAGCAACTTCCCAGTCTTCTCTGTTTGGGCGCACGCTCTGTTTTCATTTTCAACACTATCTCCATTTTCCTAATCACTCTTTTTTTTTTTCATCCACGTCTCCTTGCCTTTACGCTGCATTCCCCAATTTGCTTACAGGGAGGTTTAAAAGAGTGAATATCGCTTTTTAAATATCTTGACTACATCTTGTGCCTGATCTCCATCTCCGGGTTTTCCCATCACATTGCGGGCTCTCAATGTTCAGAAATATTTTAACCACACGTGCAACTACAAGGCCAGCTCTTCAGACAGCTTCTTATAAGCTTGTTGTTTTAAGCAATGTGTAATAGCTTTTGTGTCTGCACAGCTCCGTGAGAGGAAATATCTCGGGTTAATACGAATGCGAATCCACATGGTGAAGGTTAGAGCTGAGGCGTTATTGTGCTGGTCTGGGTCATGTTACCAGGCACCGAAGTCTTGTCATTTACGGAGCTCACAATGAGCGGTTTTTAAATTTTTTTCAGAGGAATCGTATAACTCGAAGCTCTATTAAGATCTCCCATGGCAGCATTAGTTTTGTGCAAATACAAAGGGTGATAAAAGAGGAAAGAAGTCCTTCATGTCGTCCGTAGCCCAACTGAAGGCAGCCGGCCGGAGTCACATGGAATAGCTCGAGATGATAGCAGTGGAGATTCACTGGGGAGATTACAGGAAAACCACAGACGAGCCACAACATCGTGTCATCTGACCAGAACCTCCCCTGGGAGGCTGGTTAGTGCAGTGTGCTGATGGGACGTGGTGCCAGGCCCGTCCCTCCCAGGACCAGTGGAGGGTGTGGGTAAGGCTCGCTCCCTGCTTTGAACTCTGTGTGTGTGGATAGCCATTAGAGGGGTTACAGCCTCCCATTGTGAGTGTGTGTGTGTTTTTGTGTGTGTCAACGGGGTGGAGGACAAATGGTGAAATTCACTCATCGCGCCAGCTGTCCCTCAGGGAATAGCAGGAGAGGATAGAAGCAGGGTAACCGGGCTCTGGTTCTCCACCCCCCCCCCCCCCCCCCCCCCTCCCCTTCCCCCCGTCCTGTATGTGCCCTCACACACCCTATATGTTGTCCGTAGCCCCCCTCTCCTCTTCTTGAATCCATAGCTAGGCTCTTATCTCCATGGAAGAGGAAGTGGATGGGTGGGGGCTTCTGGACACTTTGACCCAATTAGTTAGGCTAATTAAGAGGGTCACTGGCCTGCGGGTCAGGGCTCAAAGGCACCAAGAAACCTCTGACACCATTTCGTGTGAAAAATAGCCTTTGCTTTTTGCAGAAAGCCACATTTATAGAATCGATCATGAAAATAAAAGCCAATAAATCACTCAGTGCCCTTTTTTTATCGCAGAAAAGCCCGAGCTTTCTCTGCCAGTCCCGACGGCGGGGTTACAATAAACGAACTGCGCCGTAAATGTCATCCATCACACAGCTGTTTGTCATGGCCCCATTTTCCTGCAGATATTACTGTGCAGCGAGCAGTCCCCCACTGTACGACAGCCCTAACCATAATCCAGATGTCACGCTGGCTCTGGAGCCCTAATCTGCGCCTTCAAAGCCTTTTTCCAAACGTGAAGGACACTCACTGACAGCCCAGGAGACCAAACCTTGACTGAGAGGCCTTTTTCTGCATATGCATGACATCACTCCCTGTGGTCTTCAGCCAGCACCAGTGAATGCACAGCACATTTTATATCGCGAGCAAAGCTGCAACAAAGAGCGAAGCAAAGCAGGGATGTCCAATAAAAGACGGGTGTTTTACCAGGCTAGTGAAACGCTCAGTGGAGTATTTCTCCCTATTGTGTCAGACAGGAATTTGATGTTGGCCCAGAGTACAATGTTTTAATTTCTTGGGGAAGAAGCCAAAAATGTGACGCAGAGACCCTTCGTCTAAAAGTGTGATTTGTGGTGTTCATGGCTCATGTTTGCATGAGTTTTTTAAGGGCAACCTTTGAGTCCCCTTTTCCTCACTTCACCGTGGCTCCGTCTAACATGAGACTGCTGGGGACTCTGTCAACATAGTGAAACAGGAATCCATTCATTAGGCAACCTCATGGACTTCCTTTTATTCTGCGAAAGCACTTTAGCTGATTTTAGCCAAAGTTAAACCTTTATTGTAAAGACTGGTGCCTTCTCCTAAGACACAAACAGCTTTTTCTTTGTTGCACCCTTTTGTTTATCAGGTTCTTATGTCCCTTTCTATCCTGAGGCAAGATGACATAAGAAGCTCTTGTAGGAAGGAAGATTTGTTTTTAATTCATTCTTCAAAACCACATCCTTTTATTTTACAAAAAAGTGACACTGGCAATAAAAGAGGATTGTCAGACGGAAAAATACAAGGGTTCAGCAAAGTGGAACAGTGCCACCTGATCTGGAAAAGAAGTGCTCCGCTGACCTTTAAACGTGCACAGAAAAGCAACAAAGCGGAGTTCCAACGCAATGTCTGGTATATTTTGTACAACCAGGTAATAAGACAAAGACAAAGTATTATCAAAACTGCTCAGCTTTCTTTTGGTTTCGTTTCTCAGAGGAAGAAAAATTAGATGAAACCACGCATTAAAAAGAAAAAAATGTTTGCTTGTGTGTCAATCATTAGGCTTACCTTCCGTATCAAATGCGATGCTGTGACAATCTGATTGGCTGCGGCTCCACGGACAGTAGAACACAGAGCCCCCCTCTGTGACGCTGTCCTGACTTGTGTTGGCCTTCGGGGCTCCAATCAACACACTTGCCCTTTGAATGAGGAAAAAAAAAAAAGACAGTTTTCTTTGTATCCAACATAAAAAAAGATCACGAAACGAAATCCCTTACAGGACTGACATTAGAACTATTGCAAAGGTCTGAAGCTAGCCCTGGCTTAGAACGGCCTCGTTAAAAAATCCGCCTTCCAGGCTTCTTCCCCGCCAGCTTTAAACACGGTGCTGTATGCACATTTAACAGCTCAGCGAACTGCGCTGTGACTCAGATGAAAAAAATGTTAAGAGGCTGCAGCTTTTGCTTTACAATGAGCCAGCGCAGTCGCTGGAAAAGGTTGCGATTGCATGTGCACGTGTAATGCTCGCAGACACATTTGCTCTGTGTTGTAGTCAGTAAAGAGACACGAGGAGAAATACTTGCATGGTCACACATGCTCCCCAGGGGCCAGATTCAACAGGAAAACAAGCGAGCAGACAGGCTAAGTGGAGTCACACTCTTGTTTCTACAGCTGGGACGCTAAAAGACAGTGTCCTTGGAGCTCCGCTGCGCAACCGCAGCCAAACACTTCAACAGATACTGAAGAATTAAAGCTACAGGTGAGTTCAGGAGCAAAAAAAACTAAGCCGGACAGAATAGAGAGATTAAGGAGATTAAGAAAAGATAGAGTGATGATATGCTAATGGGGACTATTTAGGTTTGGGTAAGGATAAGAAAAAGCTCCGGTAGATAATGTGGCTTAAGTGGATGGTTCAGCCATTACCTCATCCTGGAACTACTTGACCCAACAAGCAGCGGAGAAAAAGTTACAGTTCGTTTTGATGTGGGTAAAGGAGACAAGGGACCACCGGGACCAGACCATGTCTAGGATGCTTTAAAGCAGGAAGAGCCCACCCTTCCCTTCTCTGGATCTGCCAATACCACACAGAGTTTACTTTTCGTCTCAATCTGGCCTATTAACCCTCCCGAGAGAGTAACTACTCTGTAGGTTTCAGAAGAAGATTCAAGAGTCAGCTTGATTGAAACGGTATCGAACGGCTCAATATTCAAAAGCACTGTAATGTGCCATAATTAATCCCACTGAAACCATCCATTAGATCTGATGAAAAGTACACCCAGTTATTGGATATGTAACTGAGCAATTGGGCCAGAGTTTTACTTGTGTTGGTCAGCACAAACTTCCAAATCACTGTGTGTGAGAACAAAGACGGGCCCACGGAGCAGAAGGTATGGGTTTACTGTTTCACTGTTGTGTGGTTTTAATACCTCAAAGAGCTCAATACCAGATCCAAATGTGGATAAAATAAAAAAAATTCCCAGTTTGTGTTGGAGGAGGGGAAAGAGAAACAAATCGGTTTAACTTGGAGAGGAAGAAACAAGTCCCTCCCTTTAGGCATTACTTCTGACTGCATATGCAGATGCAGGAAAACCCCATAAAGCAACAGCGTTCCACCTGTGCAGTAATCTAAATCACAGAGAGGTTTCCTGGATAGAGATTCTCATTAGACAGCTGAAGGTCTTGCTCTTGCTATCTTTAAACTTCACATTCATAAACCGAGAGGCTTGGTGAATATGCACACCTGTTATGTGCAAGCCATCCAAAATCTATTTAAGGACAATTTCATCAGAAATCTACACGTTCCATCATATTGCCTGTTTCAGGCAAGAAACTTTGACAAGACTGAAGAAAAATGCTTCGCTGGCAAAAGAAAACAACCAAAAAAACTTTTAGAAATAATCTGCAAACACATGTATGCAATAAATAACACCAGTGGAGGAAGACAGACACAATAGCAAGGGCGAGGAAATTGAAAGCCACAGCATTTTCAGCTGAATCAAATCTGAACAAGGTCCAGCCAAAGTTGGTTATGGCAGATTATCAAACTATGTAAGAAAAAACAGGAAATAACAAAACAAGCTGGGACTGCTTTAATCAGAAAGTTGGCCATTGATGTGATTTTTTTTTCTCCTTTTTTTAACATCGTACTCATAGATCCAAATGTGCAAATACTGATTTTCTCGCTCACACACAAATACAGACCGATAGTAATCTAAAAGTTCTGTAAATGAGTTTAAATTAGCATTTAATGGGACCCTATCTGGGGAGGATCTGGGTTTTCCATGCACCCCCCCCCCCCCATCCATTCCTATAGCTATTCAGCTAGCCATGTGCTTAAAAGGTAGTGCTTTTACGTCGTCTGCATTTAATGAAGCTGTGGCTGCAGTCAGCTGAATCCTGCTTTACAAATTCCTTTGTAAAAGCAGGGGGCTCTTGGGATTGGCATGCAAAAATATGTAATTAGTGGGGGGCTAGAGATCCTCAGCTGTTCACCGACAGATAGACATTCTCCTGAGGTGGGGTTGTGTTTATGCTGCAATTACAACAGTGAGGCTAGACAAAAGAATTGTAAAAGCGGGAGAGACGGCAGCGACTTAACAGGTTAGATAGGGAAGCAAAAGAGAGCCGTAAGGAGAGACGAAGCTCGGGGGGCTACTAATGAGCCATGAGAAGCTTTAAATTGTACCGTACCTGATGAGAGACAATTTACCTCACTCACCGACATTGCCTAAAATCCCTCGAGATGAACAAATCTTTGGTACTTTTCAGGTTCTTGTCAGTACGGACACATAAGTGACCTGTTTCTTAACCGGGATATTTAAGGAATTGGTGAAAGCAGGGGGGGAAAGATGAAAGCAACGGAGCTGTCGTCCAGTCGCATCAGCTGCCACACAAAAGCCACTAATGATTTCCACCGCCCAATTTGCAATTAAGCATTAATTACTGCTGTAGGATCCATGTTAAGAATGCGTAAACCGCCTCGCCGACTGTCACATTTGAGGGTCAAGCAATCTCGGGGCAATCTGCAAAAAATGTCTCACCACACCATAAACGCTAGGCTGCGACCACTATTTTATGTGGGGTTGAGAAATTAAATCTGATGCAGAGTCCCTGGAACTCGCTGATGCGACATTATTGTGAGCAGCCACGGTTAATGGGGTTTATGATGAGGTTACAGACTGAGGTTGTCAACAGGCAAATTCCAGGGTTACACCCTTCCATTCGGCCCAGTACCCCACCATTCCGCATTTAATTGTCTTCCACCCAGCTGCACGGCTGATGTCACTCGAACGCTATTATAAAAATTTGAAGCTTGAAAGCAGAAAAATATAAATCACATTTGTTAGGCCTGACCAGTGCCGGCTGCAGCCACCATCTGCACTCATAAACAAGGCTCAAGGAACACCATGGCACATAAGCAAAGGAAGTGAGGGGGGGGGGCAATGGCGGCCTTCGAAACTCACCAATACTTAAGAAGAACATGTACAGTGCCTTGTGGAATTTACACTTAGCTCTCAACACATACTTAAACAATGGAGTGGTTCCAAATCGGACGCAGCCACCTGAGGAAGCACAAAAAAGTTCAACAAGGCAAGGCTTACTTTCTGTAAATTGCCTTGACAAGACAGGCTTATTAAATAAGCTCAAAGTGGTCCACTTAAATAGAAAGAAGTTTACACGTAGTTTGACCCTTCTTATTTACCGACTTCAAACATCTCACAGACGACAAGAAAAGCTGGAAAGTTTTGTTAGAATTTGATGATGGGAAGAATGTAATAGTCATCTCAATGAAAAGCAAGAATGCATCTGCAATTAAATGGAAAACTCCCATCGTGCTTTCATTCTCTAAGTCTGAGACCAAATCAAAGCTAAATGAGATTTAAGTGGTTGCAAATTCTTGATACAGCCAAATCGTTCCAAACCTGAACTGGTTGAGGCAGATGGCTGCCGTTCCCCGAGATGGATTTTGTACTAATTTGATTTTATTGGATTATAACTGGATTGCAACAAAATAAAAAAGTGGAGCATAATTGGCTTGATTTGGAATGCATCTTTTAAGTGCTCAGAGTTGACATTTGTTGTTATTTGATGCAGTCAAATTGAATTCAATATTCCAATTTGTGGCAAATAAAACGCCATCTGCATCAAAGAAACATTTTGGGACACGAGGACAAAATACAAATAGCTAAATTCTGCCCTTAGTAACTCATTAAGATGACAGCAAGCTTCCCGAGAGCCTCAGGTGTTCTCAATGGGAACTCCATCACCAGATAGAGTTCTGATTGTTACTATCAACCTTGATTCAGTACTTCAGCCTGATGATGTTTAGATGTTTTAGTTTGATGTTAGTTTGTACTGTCTGGGTATCATCAATAAAGAAATAAGGAATCAGTAAAAGGATAATTAACTAGTTAAACTAAATCCAGGTTATGTGCTCAGCATGGTCATCTTGTATTCTAAGACAAAACATACATCTTTCTAATAGACGGGTTTAAATGGTACCAGGATCAATGGGAGCAGCTATATGGACCAGGTCACTCAGTCCGCACGGTCAGCAAACTCTTTATTAACTGTGATCTCACATCAGAGCGATATTGATTTTTCAAAGTAAGCGTCCCGTCAGCATGAGCCCAGCTGTGTGACTGATATGAGAAACACAAGTACGGCGTGATGACTTATTCTAGACCGCTCGGAGCCTTATGAATAGCTCTGCATCCCCCTCAAAGCCAAGGCCAGACAGAAGCTGTTTGAGTCCTTACGGTTGCTGCCATATGGACGATCGCCTATTCACACACACCACGCACACACCGCTGCTGTCCAGGAGCACGAAGATGATGAGAGTAGCAGTGCCTGCTGGGATGGCGTGTGCTGACTACAGAGAGTCTACTGTGCTGAACTGAGGCCACATTTTTTGGGTTGACAGTCACATGGAACCGGAAGATCGAGAAACTGAAAGAAAAAAAAAAAGATCTGCCTTTCGCTCTACACGGTTGGAGCGAGGTAAAACAATTTATGGACATTTCCACGACCCGGGACTGGCCCGAAAAGGGGGGGTGCTGTGATCTGAACCCACACAAACCATGGTTGATAAGATAAACAGTCCAGTCTGCACAGGATCTGATCCCACATCACAGAGGACCAAAAAAAGAGCTAGACGTTTCCTCTGTACCCTCAAAAGAATAACTCCGTTGGGCAACAGGTGGCTTAGGTATTACAAACAGAGCTAGGTATGCTTCACGCTATGTTGTTTATGCTACACAGGAAAAATAACTGTGTTGACGCCTGCGTGCAATTTGTTAGTTGGTTATCGTTGGGGATTCGGGAATTTACACCACTCAGCAGGCCACAGGAGTTACGGCTCTGTTGGGTAAGTCAGGGAATCCACAGCAACATCATTTAGCCATCCCTGTTTTTGTTTTTATTTTTCCACAACCTTTCAACAAGCAGGTCATTTCACATCCCAAACATCCGTACCGTCAGAGCTTTAGGAGTTAATGTGGGAACGGCAGCGTCTGTTTCGTCAAAAACCACCAGCACGTTGAGCTATTTCACAGGCGGAGAGTGAAAAATTTGAAACATCCTGCTACTACTGAATAACATCAAAATAATGTGGTCATGCCAACACTTTTTTTTCTTTGACCAAAAAGACCCCCCTCCCGACCGCAACTGCACTACATCTCCCCCTTCCCCTCGCACAGCCCCCAACCTCCTGCAGGGGGGTTTAACTGCCACTGCTTCACACTTCTACACAATGGCCCCTTCAGGGGGTCCAGTACTCTCACCTCAGGATAGAGAGACTGTTGTCTTAAAAGAAGTGGAGGTGGGAGAGGGGGCAGGATCTGTCTGAGCACTTTGTCTTTATAATCCCAAATCCCGGCTCACCCACTCACGCATTTAGACAAACCGACCTCCGCTGACAAGTCTGGTCAAACGATTCCTGGGATTTTCCATCCCTAATATTGCTGCCTACTTCAAAACTTCAGTAACCCTAATTTCATATTTCACAGGCCAGAAAAATGCCTTTGCGTGGACGTTGCTATAAAAAGGCTAGCTTTCATCAAATCCCCATGGCTGTGAGTCATCTCGCCAAATGAGGTTAAAACAACCCCGGCCTGCCGACAGGCCGGGATTAGACCCAGCAAAGCGTGAGTCAGGATGACCCCGACCGATCGGCAACTCCATTCCAAAGTAGACATGACGTCCTCGGGGCGTTCCCAAGCCCATTACAGCAGAGGGTCGGCGAGCCCTTTAAACACATCATCTATTTCCACACTGACGTCTTTTTCCAGCGAGACCACCGACAGCCAGAGGGACACTTTGTGCGAGGCTGGCTGAGTGCTATTTCCTTATAACGCTTCCACAGGTGAACACGTTAGACATGCTGAAAAATGCTAGCAACTTTTTTCCCTTTTTTTTTAAATAAAGGCTGAGAGCTCATGTGAAGGAGCGCAGTGATCAAATGAAGCCATCAGACAAAGCGCTTCTTTGTCTTCGCACAATAACTGAGGTGAAGGAAAGCCTGGCAGCCCGGATAGAAGCTGTGCTCCAGAGGTTCAAACACTTACTGGTTTGATTTAGATACAAGTTCCCCAGAACACGATGTGTTTCAGCAGTGAAAACAACAGCAGAAATTAGGTCAATCACATGAGTGGAGGGAGCCTCGGTGGAGACAAGGAGGAAGAAAATGAGCCCTTTAAGTTGTGAGTAGAGATCCGATCCAGAGGATATATAAGCTGCTCCTTCACTCACCACCATGGTCAGGTTGGGCTAAATTTGGTAAAGTCATGGCCAAACTATTCGTAACTTAACACAAATTGCTGAAACACGTTCATCTGTCTCATTAGTTCATGCACAGTAGACCTGGTCTGTTATTATTTACGGCCCTTGACCTGTAACCTTTTCTGTCTCGGCATAATCCACTCCCTTATCACTGCCTGGCACCAGCCAAAGAAAAATAGAGAAGAGGACGTTCACGGGGTGTGACATTCAGAGATTGGAGCTAGACTGTGAAAAGTCTGTGTTCTGCTGAACGCTGAAGGGAGAACACGCAAAAAACTGAGAATAATACACCCTCCTGCCTTTCCTGTGTGCATGTGACAAGAGCACAGACACTATCCCGGGGCGTTGTTCCTCCATGGTGGGCCATCTACCAGTTCAAATTGGATTTTACGACTCAGGCCGAAGGGCAGGGCTCACTCTCATTTATTAACTTGTTGTCAAGGATTAGCATCAAAGTTGGAGAAAGTAAGCCTTTGTATCTGCAGGGTCGAGGGACAGTATTTATGGATGGAAGGGAGTATCTTAGCTTCTTTCCGCTTCGACATGTGCCGTCAGACTGAGTCAGAGTGGTCCAAACAGAGATAGAATCCTAAAAGCTGCCGTGATTCATTCGACCAGGTCGGTACCAGGTTCACGAACGCTCACCCCGACAAGAGGCATCATTCAGCGCAGCCCCGCACTGACCCCGCAGGGCTGCGGCTACTCCCCCACTTCCCACATCTCCGCAGAGTGTGGGTGAGGATGATGTGTTGGCAAAAAGAGGAGATAGCAGAACTTATTTCCCGTCTGATAAAGTTCTGACGTGGAAACGTCCGAAAGGCGGTGGATAAAAAGGACGTGGCCTACAGATAACGCGGTGAGTCATGGCCGCGGGCACTCTTGACGTTCGGCATTTAAAAAAGGTCACCGGGAGAGAAATCATAGGACAGTGAGCTGTAGGAAAAAACTAAAAAAGATTGAACGCTGATCCTGTTTTGCCTCTACGAACTTTTGAGTCCGTCTCAAGGGAGCAAGGTGTTCAGATTGAGTCATCGGTAAGATGACGTCTACCTTGTCTGGCACTTAACGACACAGGGGGAGATGATGGGGAGAGGGGCTAGACGGTGGGGGGAAGGTCTGCGCGATGGATGAATTAAAGAGCCCCGCAGAATGACATCAGCATAGGAGTGAGAAAAGGGGGGGAGAGAGAAAAAGGGTGTATGCTTAAACTTCACGTCCTAAATCATACCATTCCCCCCCAAGACCCTGCTTCCCAGGCAGAGAAAAAAAATAAGACCACGGCAGCAGGCTTTTACAGAGACATTGGAGGCTGGGGAGAGGGGAAAGGGGGGGTCGGAGGAGGGGAAGTGGGGGAGGTCTCCCTCGTGTCTGAGTGTCTCCCGTCCAGGGGAAATGGGGAGGAGGAACAGGGAAACCGAAGCTGCTGCACAAAGCCCTTCCCCAAATCCCAGCACGCTGGCTGGTTGAACAGCGGTCTGCTGGGGTTCAGCAGACAAGCTCAGGAAGTCTGAATATGGCTGAGTGAAAGTTATGTTCAGGATTATTGCAACCACAGGGCTGCATCCAGGGGACCATCAGGAGAAATGCTGCGCATTATTCTAATCACCCTAGAACCCCTTTTACATTCTCTAGAAGCTCGTTTGGTAAACATGAGACATGACTGTGAATGAGCTGAAGTTACAAACGTGACACATGTAAAGCGAGGTATGAGTTTACATCCACAAGTAGCCGAGCAACGCCCCACCAGGCAGCTGTCCTCATCTCTAAAGTTGCAGCGAGCACATTTGTTCGAGGATTCGAAGTCCTTGAGGGTAAAGAATAAAATGTCCCTGTTCGGATTACAAGAGTACACTTTGGACGAGATTTCTTATTTCATGGAGTTGTGCACTTATCTAAGGAGGAATTAACCACTGTGATGTACAGTGTTGCCAATACTTTTCAAGATTCAGAACGCAAGTGTGTTTTTCGCGACCAACTGGCACAGTGCGCAAAGCATGTGTCCAGGAGATTATCTCAGATCCCATTGTCCCCTACTGTAAGAGTCTCAAAGAAAATGAATGTGTTTCCTAAGAGAGATCTGCTCTCTAACTTGAACAGAGCTTTGTGTGTAACAGAATTAGTCAGAAACTCTCAACGCAGGTCAATGGAAAGTTTGAACGCTGCGCGCAACATATTTGCGTCCAGTTGTGCTGAAGTGGCCGGGCTTAATTGTAGGAAAATATTAGAGAAAATCATTCATAAGGGATAAATGTGGCTTTTTAAGAACTTTTTTCTTGTTTGCCTCTTCAAAGAAGGTACTCACCTGGCAGAGTCAGACAAATAAAAGTCTACAGCGTATCCGAAGTAGCTCCCGTTGGGTCCGCTGTAAACAGCTGGGTTTTCCACATCAAGGTTGAATGCCTCGCAGTGAGGCTGAGAAATGGTGACCATGATCCCGACCATACAAAGGAACGAGCGGACCAGAAGGGCTGCTGGTCCCGGCGTCTTTGCGCGAAATCGTCCCAAGCCCATTTTGAGGGGTGAAGTAATAATAGGAGTAATAATCCGCTGACGTTTTGTTTTGCGAGAGACTGTCCCAAAGTTTTTCGAGCTTTCAAAGTCCTCTGAAAAGTTTTAAAAAGGAAAACAAAACTAGCTAGAGTGAATCAGAAACACTGCATCTCTGTAACCCTAAACGGTTAGTGGCTGATTTGTGCGCCGTCAGCTCCTCTGCTGCGTCCACTGCGCGTCTCCACGGGCGCACGCCTTCTCCACTGACCTAATGACGATCCAGTGTGCGCGGAGTTCCCACACCCGTAACGAAGTTCAGAGCAGGAGGAGGAGGAGGAGGAGGAGGAGTCTGTGAATGAGTGTGTGTGGGGGGTGGGGGGGTGATCTTCGAAGATGAAACCCTTCATCCACCAGCCTATCTGTTTTACCGCGGTTTAAAGAAAGGTCAGTTTATCACCACACACAGATTATTAGTTAAACGAACAATGGATCCGCAATCCTTTTGATTTTATCTCGGGGCTTATATCATAGCCTTTTCAGATCAAAGTTGTTGCCAGAGAATACAGTTTGATAAGTGATGGAAAGGTCAATGATTCCTCACATCACTTTTTTTTTTTTGCTTGCTTTCCAAAGGGAGCCCGGCAGCTCCTGCCTCCAGTCACAGATTTTAAATAAGAGCAGCTACTTATTTTGCATCTCTTGCATCTTCAACGTGTGACCCGCGTGTATTTCTGTCTAATTACAGTGTGGATGTGAGTGCACTTATGAGGTCCCCTGGTGATGTTCGGAGGGTGTGGGAATGGCTCTGAGCTGCTGCCTCTGAGTCACACCAGACTGAGAAAAAGTGGTTAGGCTGCAGAAGGCAACAACTCACTCCAATGAGACCTTTAATAAACCAATCCAAGCCTCCTGGAATTAGTGACTGTTGGTTTAGTTGATTCGTTGGAAGCCTCGGGGATTGAATGCGGGGGCCAAATTTGGCTGTGTGGCTGTAGCAACATGAACTCTCCTGTCGAGCGCCGTTCGTATTTATAACTCATCCAAGCGCCTTGACGCACAAAGTGGAGTCTGACCGGAGAAATCCAAGGTGTCTGGAGGGGCCAGTTCACAGCTGTCGAGGGCACTTGAAGGTTCAAAGCCCTAATTCTAGAGGGGTCTCACCCACTTACTCCGTGTTTAGCTACTCGAGACGAGATTGTAAATACATTAGAAGACTTTAAGCTGTGCCTGATGGGAATATTGATTATAAAGTCATCAAAATGGTTTCCAGATCATGTCATCAGTTAAATTTAAGAAATGTAATTATCTGAAAGCCCGAAATGAAAAGGCCGCACCCCTATTAGCTAAAATTAGCCGTAAATGCTGTGCGCTTGTCGCGTGTTGCCAGTTTAAACCAGTAAGGCTTATTTTAGTTGTGCATGAGAGGGTAAACAAATACTTTCCAAACAGTCCCGCTATCAGCTTTTGGTCATCTCTACGCACCACCTGATTGAACATCTCAGCTTTCTTCTTATCTTCCCACCCGTAAAAATCTATCTGGACTGTCCAAGTATCAGAATTTGAGATAGTAAAAATATTTCTTTCAAGTGTTCACCCTATCTCTTTATTCACACACGTGTATTTAAGAGAACACACAAATGTCCAACGTCTGCTGATTCGTTCTGACCATGTGATGAGCTTTTTTCTGTATTTTTCTGTTAAAAAATAAGGAATGTTTTTTTGTTTTTGTTTTTTATGCCAGTGCCTGGGTTTTTACATCATCGCTCGGCCACTCTGGCAACACATCTGAGGTGCAGCGTAACACTTGTGGAACATTAAGCAGGCCTCCACACAGCTGGCCAGCTATTCTAAGTATGGAGGTGACACACTGCCAAATCTATAGGGCTGACATTCATATATTCATATAATATATATTTAGAGAGAGAGAGAGCAAGAGAACGCAGACGTGCACACATTTGCGTAGATGGCTGCCTTTCTCTTTGTGACTGTAGACCATGTAATACAGTAGATTATTAATAGCACTACCAGAACACTGCTAAGTGGCGTTATCTTCACACATTTATATCAAGATCTCAACGTGTTGCCTGATGTATTTTGACTTCTGCTAAAGGTCAAACGTCATGTTGCAACGTGTGACAACAATAAAGATCCCCATGCATCCATCCATTCATTATCTATACCGCTTATTCTTAGTGGGGTCATGAGAGGAGGCTATCCCAGCTCACGAAGACTCACGAAAAATCATTTTTCTTATTGTTTCATTATCTTTTATCTATTTGACAGCTAAGTAATGAATTTGAATAGAATTCTTACGATGAAAAAAAGGTGTGAATCAGCCTTCACATGCTTGCTGAAAGCAGTTAAATATCCACTTAATTCAAGTTAAAGTAATACAAACTGTTTCAAAACTAATTGAACTAATGTTTTTGAAAAGCTTATGTAATTACACATAGTTTTGGGAAGAAATAAGATTTATTACAAAGGTTTCCATTCTTATTGGGTTCTGTTAACCAGGAGAGTTCCACGGCAACAACTCTGTGAGAATTGTGGACCCAGTTTGAAAACCTTTGTTTGATTTATTCCAGACGAGCTCAGGCAGCAATCAATTCCAATAAGAAGAGGATGGCCTGTTGCTGTAAACTTCTCATTTACCTGCATTAAGAACTACAATATGTATCAGCTATGAATGATCCTTCTACCCAAACACCAACCACCAACCTCCATCTTGTTTCCCTAACAAACAGTGAGCTGATACTGAGGGGCTCCATGGGGGCAAAGGGACACCCTGACAGTTGCCATTAAGCAACTGTTAGCCTTTTAAGTCAAAGAACAAACAACATTCTACTGCCCTAAAAGAGACAGCAAATAAAGCCCACATCAGGTGTCCCAGTAATCTGTGATGACAATTCACCATTCACAGCACTTTAAAGGTTTTAGCCTTGTTTTTTTTTTGTTTTTTTTGTCTGCTCAATTTTTGCTATGCTGCTGTGAAAGAGTTTTCCCTGAAGAAGGAGCATGATGGAAATTGTTGTTTGGGAGCAGAGGGGCACAATTCAAACCAAGCCTTTGAGTAGAGCGGGCAACTGAACACAACTGCCACCCCGAAAGCCCTCGAGATGCTTATTAAGCTCGGAGAAAAAACTTTCCTTCCTCCTTCCTCTCGTCCAACGGTAGAAAAAAAGTGATACACATCTTACCAGCAGGAAATTCCTTCAGTGTAAAAGCCTGCCTGGGCTTCCTGTCTCACCAAGTTCCTACTCAACTGTACTCACACACAAACACACACCTTTGCATACAGCCATTCAATTCTCAACCGCTTTGCTTACTCCCGTTGCTCTCAAACATTCCCCATGTAAAAGGCGGAAGGGTGGTGAAGTGTTACTGATCGCTCCAGCCAGTCTGAGACATTTCATGCTGGATGACAGATTTGTCACGAAGGGGTGGAAGTCCTGAGCCGGCCAGTAGTGCTGAGTGGACTGTCCATTGTTTTCAACACAAGCGCTAGGCAACGCAAGGGATGACTGAATCATTTGTTTTAGGAGGAGAAGTCCTCCCGGAGGCTCCTTACAAGGCAAATATCAGCCGCCCTTTTGCATCATGCTTTCCCTCTTTGTGCTCGCTCTGTCAATCTAGACAAGTCAAACAACATGTGTCCGGGTAACAAAATGATCCAAACAGTGTCCATTGTTAAGTTGTCTTGTTAAAGAGGCCACAAAACACCCCCAAATGAGCAGTGGTGTTTTTATGTACATCTGCTAATCAGTTGGAGGGAGCAGGGCAGTAAAGCAGCGGCATGCAAACGGTTGGGGGGGAAACGACCCCCTTGCCAACTTTACCACCCCCACTCTACTCCCAATAACACACACACACCCAATAACACACACACACAAAAGTGTCTCAAACAGCCAGCCCTAACCGACTGACTTTACAGCAAGCACTGTGCGTCATATGGTGTCTGGTCTCTGTCCCCCCCCCGAGTGAACTTGTTTGCCCCAAATATACAACGTTTTAAGAGCTGATGTAAAATGCTCGGCTTCATTTAATGGTAGGTCATTTAGGCAGAGAGTCCGGCCTGATGGAGCAAGACAGGACCGGCCGCAAAGCTGCAAACCAGGAGGGCCCGAGAGCAAACCCTCTCCAGTACCAGAGCAAACGATGAAACGTAAACACCCTCGACCGAAACACAGCTGGAAATATTTGATATCGCAACGCCGAAAACCAAACATAAGCTGCAGAGCGTGCGATTTTGAAACTCTTGAAACGGGCCAAACTTGTGAGCCGGAATGTTGGAGGTGTTGAAAGATCACATCCAGCACGACATGGGTGCTTGTAGCGTTGCGTTCAGGTCCCATGCCCGGGGCGTCACGTTTTATTTGGATGGCCTATTTGTCTCTCAGAGTAATAGCGTGCCCCCTGACCCCCCCCACCCTCGGTGTTTAGCTATCGGGTTAGGCGTGCAGTGAGGCTGCCGCCAGGCCTCGGGAGTGAAGGAATGCGGTTGTTAAAGTGTGCATATCTGGGGGTACAGCTGGAGATGGCAGTGAATCAGTGTGATCACTGGAGAGCCTCTGGGTACTGTTTCACACGCAAATTCGCGCTCACACGCTTCCTCCAATTTGCTGCTCTTGTTTTCCCACGTCCATTATCCAGCGCACACAATGCATATGAGAGCGGTAACAGTCGGCTTCCCAGGAGAAAAACCCAACTATACTAAAATTAAAATAGACCTACATACATAGCTCCTGTTTCTTCTTATACTCTCAGACAAAACATAAACATGTTCGCTTTTTGTTGCATCCTCTTAAGAACAGGACGGAGAATAAGCGGCTGCTTTTCCAAGCGCAAACACACCCACATTAAGATGACTGAAGGGGAGATGGCGGGCTTAGAAAAGCATTCACGCACAATGCGCGGCGGCTGAAGAAAGGCAGTGACAGAGGCCGGCTGATAGCATCTACGGACACAACAGTGACTTTCAACACTTCATCAGCGGAGTGGAGACATGTGTTTCACCCCGCTGATGGAAACCTCCTCACAAATCCAACAACTGAGTGAGGGAACCCAACAATTTCCGAAGGGGCTTCATCTCAGTGTTTACCATAAGACAGGTGGACGATGAAGCAGGCGCTTTTAAGGGGGGGAGGGGGACATAATGAAGGTGATGCATTAGTTTCCTGAAGGCTTCCGGTGAATGGGTTCCGGTTGTCTCTGCCGTCGTGAGGAGAAAGGTCAATGCAAAACACAGTCATTTGCAATTGTGTTGTTAATTCGTGCAGTGATTCATAAAACAGCTACTCCA